AAAAAGTATATTATCTAAATAAAAAAGGCTTTTTCAAATCGGTTTATAAATAACAGAGTTTTGAGATAAAAAAAATGGACGCAAAAAAATATGTACGTAATATGAGCCACAAAAAAATTTTTGTGGCTTATATTACAATAACCAAACTGAGAACATCGGGGGAAAGGGATTGTTAGCAATGGAGTTTGACAGCCCCATTGCTAGCAATATGCCTTATTAGGTCGACCTCCACGTGGTTTCTCCTGGAAACCATCGTGAACAATTCTTGTTGAATTCGTCATGATGGGCTAACTGACCTGCTTCATCCTCACTTATCATCCTTCACTGGTGCCCCGCCTATGTATACCGATAGCGCGGGTAGGGTTACCATTCCATTATCATCCATTAAAAAAAAACTGAGAGCCTCCTCCTTTTTGAAGTCGGTTAAAATAATAGCATTAACTAGACTCGAACTCATGACCATTAAGCTTTTAATCATGGTAGTAAACAATTAAGTCATGACTCTATCAAACAATAATTAGGTAATTTGTATCTAAATTGTCTTTGAACTGGTATAACTATGAAATAAAATCTGTTATTTTATAACAAGAAAAGTTTAAATCTATGTTAATAGCTGTAAAAGTTAAAATTCAGTGTCCAACTTGTAACATTTAACCGTTAAATATTACACTTGAACATTGTCTGCGAGAAGTTACAGATTATCGTTTTCGAAGTTGTGGCATTATCTCAAATTTACTTTGAAAATCATCGAACGAATGGTTCTTAATCTATGCTTATTAAGGTATTATTTTTATACTGTATTTTTTTAAATATAGAACTACTTTAAAAAGAACTAATAGAACTGTCCTGTATCTAAACAAAGATAGATACTTACAATAAACATATAAAACAACAGTGTCTGAAAAATAATTAATAAATAATTAAAAGATGTCAAAAAATTTAATCGATTTAGGAACCTCCGCATTTTACTCAACTGTAGCAAGGACCGTAACGTTTTCGAGTGTAAAAAACGAATGAATTTACTAGCTTACTTTGCTTTGAAAGAAGTGTTTAATCAGTTACAACATAACCTCAACTCAACACTTGCTAAAGAAACATAGGTAGTAAGTGACCGAAATGTTCAGCTAAAAAAGAGGCACTATCTATGTAATAAAGTATAAAATAAAATAAAGGCAATATCTATGGTCAAATGTTATTGGTCTGTGCAAGTTCGTCTTAGCTAGGAATAGTTTGTATGGAAAAAAAATAAAAATGAGAGGTTTTATGGTTTTCAAGAGTTTTCCCAATTTTTGTCTTCATAAAATTTTTGTTAGTACTTGGAGGAATATTTGAAAACAAAAAATTATACCAATAATTGATGGAACCGTACTCGAGTTTTGCGTAAAACAACGCACATAACGACATAACGATTTACTTTTATTTATGTAGATATATAATAACAAGCTTAGATTGGGGGAAGGGATTGTTAGCAATGGAGTTTGACAGCCCCATTGCTAGCAATATGCCTTATTAGGTCGACTTCCACGTGGTTCCCCCTGGAAACCATCGTGAAGAATTCTTGTTGAATTCGTCACGATGGGCTAACTGACCAACTTCATCCTCACCTATCATCCTTCACTGGTGCCCTGCCGGTGTATACCGATAGCGCGGGTGGAGTTACCATTCCATTATCATCCATTAAAAAAAAAAAAACAAGCTTAGATTATGTAGATAGAACATCGAACCCTAAAAACGGGTCAAGTTTTTGTCAGCTAATTGTCAAATTTGCTGACTCGTTTTTTTATCAATGTTCTATTATACTTATGCACGCAATGTATCTTGTTGTATCTATATTTAATTATTTAATAAATAAAATGTGTTTCTTTACATTAAAAAGATACAAAAAATATAAAATAAAATAAATATAGAAGTCATAAAGGAATCACTCATAACTATTTATCACGCAAAATTGTATGAGAAAGTTGACCCGCTTTTCTCGAAGCTTTTGTATGGAGACTCTATTTATGTAATCTAAAAGTACAAGCTTAGATTATAAGTACAAGTTTAATATACACAGTATTTCACAAGACACACGTAGCAGGAACATAGTGGTAGGTCTTATATCTATCGACATTGTTTCTCTTGATAATTGCAATCCAAATAATCTGCGTAATTCAGTGTCACGAAATGGAGAGGCGACGAGACGCTGATGTCATTCATTATGAATGAGTAAATGGTTCCGCCGTCAGAGAATAACACATCTATGTCCTTAGTCCTCAGGAATAGCATCGCACGTGGTATCATGGGTGAAACAGTGTACTCTGTTATGCTATAGTACTTTTTCATGTCTATAGGCGACGGTTACAGCTTTTCATCAGGTGGGCCGTCAGCTTGTTTGCTATCGAAGTTGCGTAAAAAAATAAACAAAAAAATATGAACAATATAATATTCAAAAAACTTCAGAATTTTTTAAAAAATTCTAAAGTAATTTGAATGTTTGTTACTCAATCACGATTAAATTACTTAACAGTTTTTAATGAAATTTGGTACATGAGTAAGTTATATCTTAATACATGGAATATTTTATATACTACATTCACGCAGGCAAAGCAACAGGAAACAGTATTACATAGATGTTTATTGCAAGTAAATGAATTGGTATTGAATTATTATGTTGAAATAATAACAAGTTTATAGCAATAAATCACTAATTAAACCATTTAAACCATGTGTGTGTTTCGGCATAAAATGAGCTAATGGGAAGTGACTAAGGGACAGCGAGGGATGGGCAGCAGTATCCCTCTTAAAACATCTCTAAAGCCTGTCTGCGGTTGCCAATCCACATGCCAAGCGTGGCAACTACTGGCAAACCCCCCTTTCTGTGGAAGACTCATGTTTTTTTTTGATGGGTGAAAATGATATGGTAACCCCGCCTGCGCTAACGGGATACGCTGGCGGAGCACCAGTGAAGGGTGACAGATGAGAATGAAAACAGGCCAGTTAGCCCATCATGATGAATTCATCAGGAATTAACCATGATAGTTTCCAGGGAGAACCGCGAGGAGGTCGACCTGGTTGGGTATATTGCTAGCAATGGGATTCTCATTCTCCATTACTAACAATCCCTTTCCCCCCGGAAGGCTCATGTTCATCAGTGGGCAGTTAACAGCTGAAATGATGATGATGATGAAAGGGGAACTTAAATTTGTTATATGTAACACTTTCATTGTAATAACAGAGACATCAATCAATACATATAATAAAATCGTAACTGCTCGTTGTCTATACACGGAAGATATATAAGAAAAACTATTATAGAAGAGCTTTAAGCTTTATTTAACCCAAAATAATGATTTTTAGAATTTTTGCCTGTTTGTCTGTGTATGTTTGTGTGCGCTAATTTCAGAAGCGGCTTAACCGATTTGAATGCAGTTTTCACTAATGCATTTCGGTTTTCTCCATTTAACATTTAATGTTTATTTTATTTCAATCGGTTCATAAAAAAAAGTTACATTAAAGAATCACACATAAAATGCTATAAAATAACCGATCAGTTGAATTGGCTGACATTTTATGAAGGTATTAGGTACGTAATTATCAATTAAGTATATAATACAATATAAGACCGGATTCCTGAAGAGTTCCAATAGGAATGATGTACGGGAACTAGGTAATTAAAGGCAGACAACGCCGCGGGAAACGGGTAGTTATTAATAAAACACAATCTACATCGATTCTGTTATAGATAAGTGATATTGGTAACAGAATCGATGTACACATACAAATCGGTACTGGAAAGAAAATCAATGATTCAGTGTATCCAATTTCAGATAGAGCCCCTGCACTGTTTCATATGTCGATGGTAACAAGTATATATAAACGTTAACCTACTTTCAAGGATCCTCATGTGATGTCTCGCGGTGGTAGACTGTTCTTTGAACGAAATGTCAACATTTGAATCGCGAACGGAATTGATCAAACTCGACTAGGTACAATTCAATCGATTTGAAAACGAGTAAAGATTAGACACTTTTATTTCGTCTAACATCCATTAATAATAAAAATATTATAATTAAAAATTGAATAAATAATTTTAGTATATTCATGGCTGTCCTAATAACTAAAAAAGGCCATGAATTATACTAGAATATGTCCTAATTACAATCCCTCAATAGGGATTGTTAGTAACGGGGATGCCGGAACCCCATTGCTAGCAATATACTCTACCAGGTCGACCTTCACTCCCCCCATGGATACTATCTTGGTTAAATATTAATGAATCCGTTACTATAAGCTAAAGAACAACCTGTTTTTTTCCTCACCTATCATGCTTTACTGGTACCCCACCAGTATAATACTGATAGCGCAGGCGGGGTTACCATTCCATTAACACTCATATAAAAAAAAAAGGCATATTGTAGAATGAGTAATATTTAACGCGAAAAAATATAATATTGTCGAAAATAATCAAGCGGAGCAAGGTTTGATCCCTATATAAATATACTTTGTGATGACCCACCTTTGCACATAATATTTGTAACTGTTTTATATGTCTTTGTAATTTATATGTTCAATAATGTGTATTAAAATAGGTTATAATTGAAAAAAAAAATGTATATAATTTAATCATAACTATAAGGGCATTGTCTAAAAGACTTGCTCAGTATTTATGGGGCGTGTACTCGATAGAGAATATGAATAGATAAAGAATATAGATCATGTTCTTTATCTATTTATGTACTTGATCAGATTACTACGACTTGTTCGTTTAAACATTACTATAATATTTTTTAAGACTCATAATATAAATTCAAGTTGAACGCGAAATTATTGAGCGTTTTTTAAAACCATCGATGGCGAACTTGCTTAGCTCATATAATGTATTGTACAGATTATTTCTTTGCAGGGCTTAAAATATAAAGGTTAGGTTAATTATTAAGAGACATGAGTTATACTCATAATTTGCAAAATCGCTTAATTCGCTAAATGGTACCGTCAATGAGTATAATCGAGGCACTGACCTGATTTTCTTGGTTGAGCAGTTTCAGTTGGTCATTAATAAGGCTGTACTTGGCGCTCTCCTCCTTCCTCAACGCTCTCTCCTTCTTCAGCTCTGGACTCCAGAAGGTCTTTATGCTGTGCATACTGGAGCCCAGCTTCTGGTTTGTCAGTTCCAGTTCCTTCTTGAGGTTGCCCAGCTCCCGTTGGAGGTCGGAGTTCTGGGACTGCAGCTCTCCGAGGAAAAGAGGAGGCGGCTCACGCCTGTAGTAGTCATCTTCGGGGGGAGGTGGCGGCGCGTAGGAGCGGTCGTAGTCCCTCTCGAGGGATTGGTAGCGGAGGGGCCGGGGTCGGGCGCGGTGGTGGGCGCCGGCGGAGGCGGAGCGCCCTCGCTCGTCGGGCGCCGGCGACGGCTCGTCATCTCTGGTCAGGTAGGGGCTGCGTCGCGAGGGGCTGCGGTCGACCTGGGGGAGGCGGCCCCGCGCGCTGCCGGCCCAGTCCTGCCGGCGCCACTCCTCGCGGCACGGCGGCCGCTCCTCCTCGCCGGCGTACTCGCGGAGATACAGCTTGAATCGTTTCCCGCGTCAATGGGAACGCATTGTGTAGTGGACGTGTTGACGGACGCGCGGCCACTGATCGGTACGGGACGAGGCATCGATCGGATGATACTGCGCGTGCGCGGACCGACCAGTCAGCCGCTGTAGCGCTCTATTCGGGATCAACGATGTGGCTACATTTATTGGTCTACTGTGGTATATAAATGAGGCTTATAATTTTTTTATTGTGAATCCTGCAAGTTTCCCTCTTGATTTAAAGTGATAACCGTCTCTTATAGACGCGAAATACGACGGATGTCACAAAGAACTAAATAATACCCGTAGTACACCTCATATGCTGCCATTCTTTAAGCTGTGATGTTTCCGTACTCTGTAATTTCACTGACATATCCCAACCCTCGAACTGAAATACAAAGGAAACGACCGCGTACGGATAAACGCAGTTTAGGACGACCCACCACCAGATGGAATGACGACCTGAAATGCATTGCAGGGAGTCAGTGGATGCAGGTGGCTCAGGACCGTTATTTATGGCAGTCTATGGGGGAGGCTTATGTCCAGCAGTGGACTGATAATGACTTAAATTATGAACCGATATTTAATATATTCGTGATGGGGGGAAAGGGATCGTTAGTAATGGAGACTGAGAATCCCATTGCTAGCAATATACCCAACCAGGTCGACCTCCTCGCGGTTCCCCCTGGAAACTATCATGGTTAATTCCTGATGAATTGATCATGATGGGCTAACTGGCCTCTTTTCATTCTCATCTATCACCCTTCACTGGTGCTCCGCCAGCGTATCCCGTTAGCGCAGGCGGGGTCACCATTCCATTTTCACCCAACAAAAAAAAAATATATTCGTGATTACGTTAATATATTGTACTCACAATATATAGATATTGATACGAGTATTCATTACTGACTCCTAGTTACTCATCCTAAGGAAATGTCATAGACACTAATAGAGTCCTTCGCTTCAACCTACTTCCTCCAAATTTAATAAAAAATCGTTTATAAACTTATTAGTAAAAACATAATAAACTTAATATTTTTTTCGAAATGTTGGTAACAATGGACGTGACATTAAAATAAATATCTCGAAATTTAAATTGATATATGACATGGATTTAGGTTCGTTGTATTTATTATTATTATTATTATTATTTTATAACAGAACTTTGCTTGATTTCGAATTGATTGATCGCTTTAAGCTTCGCCTTATAATGCCAAAAATAATTAATAGTTAAACCTTATGCAATGTTAAAATAACTGAATATTTATTTCATAAAACTATTCTTATTCTATTATAATTAAAATGAAAAATGTTATTTTTATGAATCGGTAATTTTCCTTATCGATTACTGACTAATGTAATATTTATTATGGGATCAGTCTACATTTCTTAATGAACTAGCTATGTCTACGGCTCCGTTCGCGTGACCGTAACCGAATCGATTAGGTCCCTGAATAAAACATAGCTTATGCTCTGTTACCTATATATTTGTAGAGCGGTTAAGGTACCAAGAAGTTATTAACCCTCAGTTGTAATATTTGAAAGATTTTATAATTAAAGATTAAAAAAAAAATCATAATTTAATAGTTCTTTTCATTGTTGGTGTTTTTAAAAATAAAATATGTAAATATTTATTTAATTCTTATAAACAATATATTTTATAATTATAATTATTTAGCTATACTACAAAACCCTTAATAATATTATAAATTTGAAAGTGTGTTTGTTTATTATCTCCTAGCGCCTTTACGGCTTAACCAATATCAGACGAAAGTCGCGAGTAAATGATAACTGAATAATTTATATATTTTAATTTTATTCATAAGTTATTTTATATTATATTTGAAATACCTGTAATGATAAAACTAAAAAGAAATAATGTCTTTACCTATAGGTAATTAAGCTGATTTAATATTGATGTTCGTTAGGTATTTTAACATTTAAATACTAAAATAAATTCTAAAATAAAATAAACTACTTAACGACACACACCACCCACGTCAAATAAATATAAAATTATAATAGTCGATATTAGTAATTATAACTGTCCCTAAGAAGTGCTGTATCTATTTTTAGAGCAGTGTTCAACCACCTATTTCGCTATAAAAGAATCTTTCAGCGACTCAGCGCTGCGCGACAGCGTGTCTCTAAGATGACTCTTATCCCGTGACCCACTTAAGTAGTGTGTCCTTTTCTTGCTTATTAAAGTGAATATATAGCTGTCTTTATTCAGTGTAAGGTCGACATTATGTCGGTCAGACTCTGGTAGTGATCGGGAAGACTATAGGGATGTGCGGACGACAGAATGTCGATAAAATTCATAAAAAAAATTTCAATTAAGAATAATAAGAAATTCGTGAATATTGGTCAAGATAATATGAATTATTCTAAAAGTAATTACGTTTTTTAAATAAATATGTCTAAAATCCATAGATTTGTTATTATTATCAATAGAATAAGCTTGATTACATGGACTTTTAATATATTATGTCCTGACTCTACTACTGGATTTCGAACCTTTTTTTCTATAGAAAAGGACTAGCTATTAAGATTTTTATTCAGTCAACTTAATTATTGTATTTATTTCAGTTTGTTTCTTATTTTTATTATCATAAATCAAATATTTGCATCCTAATAATTATTGTTCAAGAAACCATATATTATTGCAAATTAAAAGAAATGTGGCATTGATAAATTAATATACGTAATAAAAAAAATATACGTATAATAATATAATTAGTGTTACATGTCTACTAATTTCCTAAAAGGGTTGACGTTAGGCAGGTAACCCGTGGTAAAATTATGAGCCAAATCTTTTTGTAATATGGATTCAAACATATTACGCTGAGTCCAAATAATAATTGGGATACGGGTAAGAAGTTGACAATTACATTTCTTCTAATTTTCAATAATATATAATGTTTTATCGATAACGATATCTTCGAAGGGCCAACTCTATTGGTGTTCGGACGATGAATGAAAAGCGCGGAATATACAAGAGCGGGCACTCGTAAAAATACACCGACGTCGAACGTCAGTGGCGCCACCGATGTGAGAATTAGCTAGTAAAATTCTTTACTTTTATAATCTCCTGGTACCTACATCTCAATTATATGAGTAGTACAATTACTTCAACTAAACAAAAAATATTTTTTATAAAAAATTTTTATGAAAATACCCTACTAAAATTTTTGTATAAGTGAATAAATTCAATGCTTTGTAACATTGTTCCAGTGCAAACCCTGGATGAATCGTTGCTTGAATATTAAAAAAAAAAATTACTCTGTCATATGAAATTTTATGTCAATTCATCAATATTTAAAACGAGTTTTTCCATTTTATTAATTGTAATTTAAGTTTATTATGGTTCAATAGCAGAAGTATGAAAATATAAACAAATAAATAATTGGTCCAAGCATAAGACAGTTTGCTGATGTCCAACAGGTACAATTAAAAAATCGATTTTTTTTTCAATGAGTGAAGATGGCATGGTGACTACGCCTACGCTATCGGTATACACTGGCAGGGTACCAGTGACAGAGAAGGGTGACAAGTGAGGATGAAGGCAGGTCAGTTGGCCCATAGTAACCAATTGAATAAGAATTAACCTCTATGGTTTTCAGGGGGACCTGCGTGATCCTAATAGGGTGTATTGGGGAGATGGGATTGTTAGTAATGCGGATTACCAGTTATAATGCTCAACTAGGTCAACCTCCACGTCCAGGGGGTAACCCCTGGAAACCATCGTGCTGAATTCCAGGTGAATTCATCACGATGGGCTAACTGGCCTGCCTTTTCATTCTCACCTATCGTCTCTCACTGGTGTCCCGCCAGCGTATACCGTTAGCGCAGGCGGAACTACCATTCCATTACTATTCATAAAAAGAAACAGGGTGTATTGCTAACAATGGGGTTGTTAAATATCTACACTAATAATCTCTTTCTCCCCTTAAAAAATCGATTAGAATGTTTTTGTATTAATGGGATCGATTTAGAGGCATCATTTCTCTAAAGCAATCTCTAAAGTTGAAATTGCAATTTGACATCATAGCGAAGTCATTGATGAAAGAGTCAATATGAACTAATTGATATAAATAAAACAAAATCGGGTTAATTACAACATTTATAACTCGACTGCTGGACAGATTTTAATGATCAATGATTTGTTAAATTCGTCTTCGTCACGATTTTTTTTAAATTCACAGCGATCAAATTGACATCAATTTTGGATCCATCAACAGCAGATATAACTTATTGAGAAAAATCTTAGACATAAGTTCTTAATCTACTTATTATTCAGATATTGTTATTGTCATTGTAAATAATTATTAAATATTATAATAGTGCATGTGGTGTTCGCCTGTAAAAGACTTTTACATTAGGCAAAATTATTTTTTGTGTTATTAAGTAGCATGTAAAATGTAAAAGTTGTAGGTGAACCTTATTAAATAAATAAAAAAAAAATAGATGACAATTAAATGGTAGACCCCGCCAATGCTAACGGTATAGGTACACTGGCGTGGCAACAGTGAGAGATGGTAAGTGAGGATCAAGAGACAGGTTAGTTAGCCCATCGTGATGAATATACCTAGAGGGGGGAAAGGGATTGTTAGTAATGGAGATTGAAAATCCCATTGCTAGCAATTTACCCAACCAGGTCGACCTCCTCGCGGTTCCCCCTGGAAACTATCATGATTGATTCCAGATGAATTCATCATGATGGGCTAACTGGCCTGTATTCATCCTCGGACGATTATCCTTCACTGGTGCCTCGCCAGCCATTTCATTCCATTTTCATATAATAAAAAAAATATAATACCTAGAATTCAGCACGATGGTTTCCAGGGGGGACCACGTGGAGATCAACCTGGTTGTGCTAGCAATTGTCTCGTTATTAACCATAATTTACGATAGTCCTCAAAATAATAACTGCGCGAAATATCAATTTAAACTATTAGGTTCAAATAAGTATTTTTTTTTAGTTTTTTTATACAACTTAGAATGGAAAACAAGCTGACGGCCCACCTGATGGAAAGTGGTAACCGTCGCCTATAGACACGAGCAGTACCATGGACATAACAGAGTATACTGTTTTGCCTATGATACCCCCCATGCGTTGCCATTCCTGATGACTCAGGTGTTATTCCTCTGTACCCAGTAAATTCACGCCATATCCCATCCTTCAAACCGAAACACAGTCATGCAAACACAACTGCTTCACGGTTGAAACACGAATGGGACAGAGGTACTCAAGCAATCGACTTTTGTAGAAAGTCTCCCTCTGGTAGATGTAGAGGTATAGGTTAGACAAATGGAGTTTCAAAATCCGCATCAATGTTAATAAATCTTGGTTATCTTTTCATCAAGATCTTTTCAAATATAACATCCCATTTATTATCTCACTACTGGGCGTTGACCTCACTAAAAAAATAATATGTATTGGATATATTTTTAGTAGTTGATAATGGAATTATGTTTTTTTAATGGATTATAATGGAATGGTATCCCCGCCTGCGCTAACGGCATACACTGGCGGGACACTATATAAGGGGCGAATATTAGGTGGGAATGAAAATGCCGGTCAGTTAGCCCATCGTGATGAAAACAACTGGAATTCAGCATCATAGTTTCCAAGCATAATAGCATAACAGACCTATTGCTAGCAATATTGCTATCAGGTGGAGTTCCATGCAGTCCTTCCTGAAAATAATCGTGCTTAATTCCTAGTGATTTCGTGTCGTTTGGCCAACTGACCTGACTTCATCATCACCTATCATCACTCATTGGTACCTTACTAGCGTATACTAAAAGCGCAGACAGACCAAAAGGACTATCATTCATGTAGCCCATCGTGATGAATACATCTGAAATTGAACACGATGGTTTCCAGAGGCACCATGTAGAGGTCGACCTGACAAGGTATATTACTAGCAATAGGACCGTAAGTCCGCATTACTAACAATCTGCCCCCATATTCAGGAGTAGAGACTACGAATCGGCAAGCGCAGTGTGCACCTGCAACTAGATGGAATGACGACATACGTAGAGGTGCGAATAATAAACAGCCGAAAATCGTGATCAACAACCAACCAACTTTGGGAAAGGATTATGTCCAGCAGTGGATTGTGATAATGATGGTGATCCTTGGTAAAGTAATTACTACCGACTAAACCGTCTTTCAAAAAAAGCGTTCACGCTCACTTTTTATTTTTATCCGAGCAGTAAGTACTTTATATTATTCTCAATTTCGTGTATAATATAGTATATGTCATATATGTGTAAGTATATTTGTTATTCATATATATTTATTCGTTTATATATGTAATTTTAGTATGTATGTATATCAATAATTAGTAGTACCGCATTAGAGTATTCTGACACTTCCCTATGGTTGACTGGGAGAGAATGCTTTTAGCATTAAGTCCGCCATGTACACATATTTGTACTAATGAATAAATAAATAAATAAATAATTACATCACTAGCGAACTAATCTCCGGTATTCTATAGATATCTATTTTTACGCCCAATCCAGATGGAGTAAACAGAGGGAACCAACTAACAAGGGCATCATTCTCACATACATTTCTACTTTCACTCATCGCAAGCTTGTTTGGGCCACTCTTAACTTGTACCTCTGATATTTTATTACTGTTAATAATTTTTAACCCCTATGGCTACGGGTATGATTCATAGGTTTTTTCCGAGTTCAGTGTTTATATAGAATATGCCCACGTTATAATCGATATATTTCAGAATATGGTCCGTCGATAGCTTTTACCGCAATTTTCAAAAATATAAACAGGTTTTGTTAGTAAAAGCAAAAAAAAAAAAAAAAACTAATGGCTTTTTTAACAATTTGTATTATCTTCATTTTTATACAACTTAGAATGGCAAACAAGCTGACGGCCCACCTGATGGAAAGTGGTAACCGTCGCCTATAGACATGAGCAGTACCATGGACATATCTACTGCTGAACATTGGCCTCCCCTATCCTCTCTTACAACACCCACAGGATCGGAAGGGGTGGCCTAGTCTATGCCGGAGCCACACGGCATAGAATAGGCATAAATAAATAAAATAACAATTTAAGCTATGGACGACACCAAAAACTAAAACTAACATTTCTATGATGCAATACACTCTTAACACACTAAATAATCTTATCCTATGTCACATTGAATTCTAGTATGTTCGATGAAATCTTGGCATATTAAGTATTTATGTCCTTCAGCTAATAGTCGACAAGTTTAGAGTCAGGATAAGTCAAATAGTGAGAAGCGAATTGTTTGTAACGGCTGAATTTTACCATTATTAATAAAATGCCGTATCATGGAACAGTATTTCCGAATCGATACGACATCATAACCTTCGAGAAAAAGACATATTCCTATTTAAAAGACGGCAGCACGCCTGCAATGCCTCTGGTGTTGCGGGTGCTTATGGGCGGCGGTAATCATTTACCATCAGGAGTCACATGTTCATTTACCTCGTGTTATTAAAAAAAAATATCGACCTATACGTGGTCCCTCTCCCTCCTTCAGCTTACCAACTTCCAACTTTCCGTCCCAACTTCATCCTTACCTATCATCCTTCTTTTGTGTCCCGCATGTGTTTACCAAAAGCGTAGGCGAGTTTACCAATTTCATCCATAAGTCTCAAAGTACCTCATCAGGAATTGAATAGAATTACGATGTATATTTTCTTTTTTTTTTTTTTTTATTTAAAGTTCACAGGTGTACTATAGAAGCGGACCAAGTCATAATTCCTCGTTATACACGCATGACCCTGTCACGGTTAATGTTCTCTGGTGTATTGTAATTGCTAAATGAGCCATTTATTAAGCACCATTTCATGCGACGAACGAGCCGATGAATTCTATAAATTCCGTTCATTCGTGTAATTAAGAGTACACTTTAGTAATGTATTTAATTTGAAATGTATCTCGCCTTGATTTTAACTGTCAATGAAAGGGACTAGCTGCCCCATTGCTAGAACTATACCCTGGTAGGTCTATCTCCACTTCTCTTCTGGAAATGATCGTGATTAATTTTACTAATACTTAGCGAATTCATCATGATGGATCAACTGACCTGCTTTTATCCTCGCTTATCTTCCCTGATTAGGGGGAAAGGGACATAACAAGAAATAATAATGACGGACTCCAATATTGTAAACAATCTGTGTTTTATTACAAAGGGATTAAGGCTTTATTTTGAACAACCTACATACCGTTTTTTTTTTATTTTTTAACGTTTTTGACGTGTATTACCTACACCACGACGTGGTCACGACAAGACATTGCCGAGAAAAAATATAATATTATTTTGACATTCCTCAATACTAATGATTTATAAATAATAAAATAGCGGGAACGGTGAACATTTAGTTTAAATTGAAGGGCTGTAGTTTAAATATAAATATATACGTAATGGGACAATGCGTAATTGTTTGCTATGGTTGTGATATGCTTTGGCTATTACTTGTAGAAAAATAATAGTTTTCAAATTACGAGCTTCTTATATATGACGCTAGCAGAAATGGTCGTAAAAATGGCGACCGATTGCCAGTGAGGAAAAGAGGAAGGCCATTCACGAGAGAATTTTCTTCGTGTTAAGTTCCGAAAGTGATTTAAGAAAAAAATAAAAGCAATCTTAAGAAATATTAGTATAGTAATTTATCTTATTTCACCTTTAGTCCACCACGAGGTAACCTGAGAAGCCAAGTGCTAAAGGTCTTTATATTGGTGAAGTAAAAATGGAATTTATTACTCCATTGGGAATCGCAGCTGAGCAGAAGGCCCACCTAAAAGAAAGTCGTAACTGTCGCCTATAAACATAAAATATAGTACTTAAATTCCACATTATTCATTGTAGTTTGTAAAAACTAAGGTTGTATGACATATCTCTAAAATTGCATTACATCTATAGACTAAAACTGTAAATGTTTTATGAATATTATCTGTTTTCTAAGTCAGCGATTCCTAAAGTGGGTTCCGCGGAACCTAAGGGTTCCGTAAGAAAGTCATTACGGTTCCGCGAGATTATCTATACAATAAAATAATTTCATTTTTCACATTAAAAGTTAAAAGAAACTAGAAAGTGCTATACTTTTGAAATATTTCTAATAAAAGCTTTTGTTTTTATCAAAATTACACTCGTTTTAGATTTGTAATCATTTGATACAGGGTTCTATAAAATAAAAGGTATTTGTTGGGCGTTCCGTTATCTTATAAGTTTAGGAAACCTTGTTCTAAATGTCACATCTGTTATTCATTGTATGTTAATTCAAGAATAGAAAGATACGCGTATCGTTGAGGATATTTTATTTCTTAACTAGAAAATTTGATACAGCTATCATATTGTGTAAATAATGTTTTTAATTTCTTTATTTATAAACTAATATACTGTATGGATAGATTGAGGTTGGCACATTCTTTTTCTACGTCTATCAACAACTGTCACTATCAACTTGATAAAGTGTCATTTACGCTTTTTTAGACATTTGACAGCTGTCGAATCGACTTGAAAAGTTGACATTTTGTTTCTGTGATTGAAATTTAGGTTATATCTTATTTTTATTCTCATATTTTTAATTTTAATTAAACTAAAATATAAATTAAAATGCCACTACCGCCAGCTAGTGGTACTGGTCTATATTACGCGAAAGCAGCTAAATCTATTCGCCTAATTCGCCAGGGTTGTACAAATAGACCCTTTTTTCATATAGCTGTAACCCATGTAAGTATATTGTTTCTGACCATTATTTTATTGCTAATATAATAATATAATAAATTATGTTAAATGTTATAAAAACAATATACGGATATCGTATTTATGTATGAATTAATATTATCCTATAGGTTGTTTTGATTATAAATTTTACTTTTAAATTCAGCGTCGACGTCTCAACAGCCAACCTGTTATAGAGCAGCTAGGATCTTATGATCCTGTACCAAATATTTACAATGAGAAGTTGGTAGCATTGAATTTGGAAAGAATAAAATATTGGCTTGGCAAGGGTGCTCATGTTACAACCCCAGTAGCTGAGATTCTTGGTAAGTGCTTTATTGTAATCTATACTTATAAAACCATTTATCCTAACCAATTATCAACATACAGACAATACTGTCAAGTATAGTCAACTAAAATTTTGTTTTGGTTTATTGTATAACATATGCATGTACTATGAAAGAATGATTTTTGAAAATTATCAATTTAAAGGGGAAACATGACACCACACCAGGAAATAGCTAGTTTATATATACATTATATTGTTTGTATCAAGAATTAATTTATCTTTATCTATGTGGTGACAGAATAAAACTATAGTGTTTTCATCTTAAGAACATTGTAAGAGATTTCAAGGAGTTAATACATAATACAATAATAGTGCAAGGAAAGGAATATTTGAAATAAAATCTTAAACTAAGCCAGTAAATTTTATAAACATTAGTTAAAATTATATATTTAGTTGTTATATATTGGCTTATAAAAATAGAAAATGTAGTATTATTATTTGTCAAATATCATATATAACAAATTAATGTATTTACTTTAATTAACACACACACACACACACACACACATGTACATTCTCTAGTATATACATACCCACTTTTGGACTTTATCATTATTAGAATAATTAGAATTATAAAATAATGTATAGTTAACATTAGATAGTTTATTTTATTATTTACTTACATTGTTACAAGTTTTTTGGAGGTAGTGGCCTGGTCGCTCTAGCACAGGTTTTCCTAGTTCAGCCATCAGTCTCCACAATACATACACTGAGTAGTTTTAAGTAAATAGTTTGTTTATACAGTATTGTGGAGAATGAATAAATATTTTAAATTTGAAAATGTATTTAATAGCCATGAAATAAAAAAAAATATTAAAATTTGTATTATATTTTAGGCCTGGCTGGTTTCTTCCCCATCCACCCTAGGACATATATGACGGCTTGGAGAAACAGACAAGCAGAATTTGAGAGATTAGCAAAAGAAGCAGAAGCTTCTGAAAATGCTCAGACTAGTTCATAATATCTGTCAATAGTTATGTTAATTAGTAGTAGTTATGTTATACAGTTGGTAAGTATGTTTTATAAAATTAAAAAATATATTTAAACTGATTGTCTATTTTAGTGTTCCCTAAAACAACTCTTGTCAGAATTATCTACATGATGATTTATATAAATCTAGCAACCCTTTATCATTAACTTGTCTTTTCCCATGAGGGTCAGTGATTGCCCATTAAAAATATATGTAACAGTGAATACCCATATCAAAATCTGATGTGTGGTTTAAAAGATATAGAAACATAGATAACAATGACTTTATATTATTATTTTTATTATTTAGCGATTGTCATACAGCTATAAACAGGTGATAAAGTGTCATGGTGTTATTGGTTTCCTGGTAATGTTTTAAACATGTACACTTTTATCATAATCAATTTTGGTAGTGAAGATAAAAAAGACAGATACACATATACACATAGAAACATTTTAATAACATGGGACAAATGTTATTAAAATGTCTGCAGTATCCTTGAAAGGTGTAGTAAGAATAAGAACTGTTATGAGGGCAGAAAAAGACCTAAAAAGACACGGATGGACTTGTGATGAAAGGTGATGTAGTCAGAAAGAAGTGAATATGGAAATGACAATAATGGAAGTAAAACATATGTGGTTGCCAACCCCAAATAAATAATTGTAATAATTACATTATATCAACCATTAACTGTCCACTGCTGAACATAACCTTCCCCATAAGGGAGGAATTGTCAGTAGTTGCTATGTTTGGCAGATAGGTTGGAACCGCAGTTTGGCTTTTGATATTTTAAGAGAGACTGCTGCCCATCCCTCCACCATAAGCTCCCTTCGTCGCCTCTTACGACACTCACGGGAAAGGAAGTGATGGTCTATTCTATGCCGGGACTTACACGCCTAATTGAATAGTAATAGGAGGGGGGAGGGGGGTTGAAGGGTGGGTGCAATTAATATGCCTGTGTCGTATGCTTTCCGTTACCTGTGGAGATGCAGTCTCGCATCTTATTCTTTCTTTCAATCGGAAAGAACATGGACATGGCATGATCTAGAAAAAGACGCTAGATGCTGCTGTGTCGTTTTGCTACATACTTTATGCGCCAACTTACTGTATGTATGATTGGTATACTATGGTAATAGATATCTAAAAGTTAAAAAAAAAAAACTAAAAAAATTACAATGAATCCCTTTTTATTACGTGAAAAAATGACAAGTTTAACAATTCCTTGAGTGAATACAATGCTGACAATCATTCAAAGGCACGACATGGATTTACATTTTAAGCATAAAAATGAAAAATGCTTGAACAAATCAACATTAATGGCGACACACGAGGTTTTATTCTGGTAATATTGAAATATATATTATATCATTTCATATTACTCCCAAATCTTTATAAAAAAGATTTCAATGATGCAAAAATATTTTTCAATCGTAATTAAAAAAGGTCATATTATGGCAACACTCAAGGATACATTCTGGGAACATTAGAAAACTAACATTACTCCAACCATAACAGAAAAAAAACTTAACAGATATACTACTAACATTCCTTGAGCAAATCTATTATTGAAATAAGAATTCATTGTTCCACATAGAGATCTTAAAATAGAAAATAAACTAAAAGGGATGTTTACTTAGCTTCTAAGCCCTAAGACATTATCAGCCGAAGAAAAATTCAACTAAGAATTTACGTCTAAGAAAATTGTAAAAAAAAACACGATTTACAAACGAGTTATTATAATAATACATGACTATAATAAAAAGAATACATAGTTGGTTTAAAAAAGTACAAATTCATTATAAGCTCATATTGTCAAAATTTAGGCCTTTATACACGCGCTTTACTTTAGGTTCAGTTCAGACTGACGGAGTGAAGGCATATTGCAATAAATCGTTCGCAAGACACACTCAGCAACACTATATCTCTCTCTTTCACTCTTGCCAAGCAGTCACGCCTTTGCCCCCCTTTTTCTATGATTATATAAATTTCAACCATATATTCAAATAGCTAAAGTCTATTAAGAATGACGAATTATTATCTTCGGGGCTACTCCGTCGGTCTGTGTTGACCCTTAGTAATAAGTCAAAATATTGAATAATGTAATCCTTGTAAGTAATAAACGTAATGCACTATTTTAAAAAAATATTAAACATTCTCTTGATTTAATTTTAAAAGACCATAATATACTACTTGTATTATCAATATACCCATAAAGGTATACAGAATTATTATTCAGGTTATGGTTTTTGGCGGGTAAATTTGAATAAAAAAACAAGTGACACTTTTATGAACAAATTCAAACAGATATTTAATTAAAAACAAATTGTTTTTATCCAAAATTGGTTTTATGAGAAATTTTGTTTCATTGATCATACAGATGACAGTTCTCAGGTCCTATTAACCTTTATATTGTAGGTAATAAGTTTCAGTTCTATAGATTACGCTTACTTGAATTCGATATTCAAAAATATTTTACCACAGATTATAAATTTATTTTTTATAGTTAAAAAATTGTGCTGAAGAAGCTGGTGGCAAAAGCATGTGAAACAGTTTGTACTTTTTTCATTTTTTATACAAATTTAGTTGTTCTTCCCAATTGCATCCGTCACCAAGCGCGAGGCTGTAAAAGAGAAAAAATAAATTAATAAATATCTCTGAAATATTACTATGTAGGTATTAATATTATTTTTAAATTTTATGTTCATTTTTTATTTGACGTCTATAGTCTATATACATACGGGAAATTATGAACTCACTGAGGAAAGCGCTAAACGCCCCCTGAAGAAGACTTCCGGATGAATTCAAAACAATTCTCGCAAACGACAATACACAGTGAGTGTATTTATAAGTAAAACAGACATTTTATATTGATATAAAATTGCTACAAAAAACACAGTGTTTTGTTGGGAAAAAAGAATCCACTGTTACACGGGCAGAATTAATTAAATGGCTATTAACTGATTTCATTCTATTTACATTAAAATTACATTACAATATGTGCATATTAAAATTGCATAAATTTCATACATGTTACAACATTATACATAAATGCTATCAGTTTTATTAATATAAAAAAAAAAATATCTGGCAGAATATATCTAGTTATAAAACAAGCAATGTTAGTCCCCAGTCAGTGCAAGGCGATAAGCTCATAAACACAAAATTAGTGCGATTAAAATATAAAAATAATAGATGCCCTCATTCTCATAATAGTTATTTTATCGCGCGCCGATCAGAAAGAGATAGCTAATCTTTTATAAAGAACTAAATATAGAACTAGAATTCTCTCGAAAACTGGCCGGTAAAATAACTCTCGTGTGAATGAGACTAGTGTCAAATTTAGAAATATCTAAATAAATAAATCTGCTTAAATAAAAAATCATCACACTTATATTAATTTCGGGGCCCTTAATGTCAGGGACAGAGGTAGATGGTATTAAATTTAATACAGTAAAAGCTCTTTATTCGCGGGGTATACATACGCTCCGTAAATATGCCGCGAATACAGCTGCGTTAGCATTTGACAAAATACTTTAGGTATAGTCGTAATCGAGTCTGTTTTACTTTTTTATTACTCTATTTGTCGACACGTTTACAAAGGATAATATGTAATATTTTTTAATAATATGTACCGATTAGATCGGCGAATACAGAAATCTTTAGCCGCAAATATAGGTATTGGGTCGCAATTTTTTAATCCGCGAATAGTGAAAACGTGAATAAGGGAAGCGTGAATAAGGAGCTTTTACTGTACAGATTAGTTAGAATAATATGCTGCTGACAGAGAAAATATTGAGTCCATACGAAAGCGTGTAAAAGGCAAGATGGCGACATTTTCGTGATGTCTTACAAATATAATAGACTGACTACATTACTTGTACTTATAAATGTGCTAGTGCAAGACCTATCTAGATTTATCTGTACCATACAGGTAATAGTTGAAAAGAAAAGAAATTACATATAATACATATTTACATAAAAAAACAATAAATACAGACTATTGGACATATTACACGGCACGATCTAAAACTAGATGCAAATAAAAGAATAAAATTTGTTCTAACGGTACTAAACAACTCATCAAAATAACATTATTGAAGACAGACCGATGTAAACTCTTTGGATATTATTATACTTTTTTTATACATATTTAATTTTAGAATGTTCTTATTTGTATTTATTATTTATTTATTTTATTTATTCTTTATTGCACAATAAAATTTTGTACAAATGGCGAGCTTAATGCCATATGGCATTCTCTATTTTTATATTTATATTTTTAAATTATATTTTTGGTTATTTTTGTTCCTTGCTTGCTTGGTCGCTGTTAATACATTTTTCTCTGCAAAAATCCGTGTTTGCATCATTTTACCATCTCATCACAGACCACTGCTATGTAATAAACATAATGATTGCTGTTATTTGTGTCGACTTTATTCAACAAAAACAATGATATTAGAAAATATAATGCATATACACAGTATAATATTATATAGTTTGTGTATATTTTTCTATCCAATTAAAATCTATCTCCAGTGATAAATAGGTAACAATATATTTAACAAGAAAATAAATCTCTGATACTAAATTTTTAATTTGATATTTCAAAAACTACTTCTCCATTGGGAATTATAGTTTTTACTATTTTTTACATACATACATACACATTTATCACGCTTGTCTCCCATTAGGGTAGGCAGAAACAAAAGAACGCCAAATGCTTTGATTCATTCCATATATATATATATATATATATATATATATATATATATATATATATATTTTAAAAGAGTCGAACTATAATAGAAGACTAATAGTTGAACTGTTGACACTTGATGCTCTATATATATAATCTATTATTAAATATTATTAAAATTCTGATATATAAATAGATATTAATAAAAAAAGAGTGCTTTATATAAAAAAAACTCTAGAGTATTATGTTTGTAATTGTACATAATATGTTTATGCATATTTTTTTTTATACAACTTAGAATGGCAAACAAGTTGACGGCCCACCTGATGGAAAGTGGTAATCGTCGCCTATAGACATAAGCAGTACCATGGACATAACAGAGTATACTGTTTCGCTCATGATATCCCTCATGCGTTGCCATTCCTGAGGACTCAGGTGTTATTCCTCTGTACCCGGTAAATTCACGCCATATCCCACCCTTCAAACCGAAACACAGCCATGCAAACACAACTGCTTAGCGGTTGAAATACGTATGGGACAGAGGTACCCAAGCAATCGACTTTTGTACAAAGTCTCCCCTGCATATAAACGATTGATGGTGTTATAGATAAGAAGCGACCCCTATACTACTTTAATAAACGTTTAGATCAATTATCCGAGAGTGAAGGACCATTTCCCACACTAACTAAATGAACATTAAAATCAATCAATGATATATTCCATCCAGTTGCTGGTTTAAATGGAATTATAAATTCCATTTGGAAAGGGCGAAAGGATTTTTTTCTAACACCCAGAATATGAAGCCAATTTTTTTACTTTTCTTCAGCTCATATGAAAGATACAATATACATAATATATTACACGAGACGAGTGATTTTTCAAGTGCAGGTTTACATTGTATCCACACGTTGATACTTTTTTTAATCGACGATAATGGAATAATAATCCCGCTTGCGCTAACGACATACACTGGCGAGGCACCAGTGACGGATCATAGATGAGAAGGAAGCAAGTCAGTTAGCTGATCGTGATGAATTCAAAAATAAATCAATCACGATGGTTTCCAGGGGGAACCGCGTGAAGGTCGGCCTGATTGCTAACAATATTTCCTATATTGCTAGCAATGGGGTTGTTAACCCCAATTACTAATACCAACTTTGTTACTAGACTTATCGTCTCACTAGACAGATCAGTTTTGATTTGCTTTCGCTGCATTGACTTAAAAGCAATTTACACTATGACAGTAGCGGGTTAGCACTTACCAGCAGTCATACATAAGTCCCCCAAGACGGATTATTAGCCCTCGTTGATAGCACTTTGGGAATTGTGGTTTATTTTTAGTAAATTCATCACAATGGTCCAATTGACTTTATTTCAACCACATCTATTATCATTTTCCCAATAGCGCAAGTGGAGTAACCCATTTATTTAGTTTTATAATTGTATCAAATCAGCCTGCTGTAGCGAGTTTGAAGTGAATAATCAAATGTAAACCGGCACTAAGGGATTGATTAAACAACATATTATGGACAAAATATCTCCTGCCAGATATATCTTATTAAAAAGCGTTTGTTAGTCATTTCCAGCAGTTTAGCATTTTTTTCTACACAACTTACCAACGTTGTATATGTTACGCTTTATTCCTCTTTACCTAAAATAATATAATGGCATGATATAGTTATAATAGCGTACACGATCTACGGAGGTGGAAATATGGACGAAAAAAGACAAAATTTTATTTTTTGCTAAAAATCATAAATGCCTGACTTTCTGATCACTTTCAAGGTTCTTTTTTTTATTTTTCATCACCATATCAGTCGTTATTGTTCACTGCTGATACACATAAGCCTCCCCCATAAAGGAGGGTTTTGCTAGTTGTTGCCATGCTTGGCAGCCGCAGTTAGCGTTTGATTTTTTTATGCAACTTAGAATGGCAAACAAGCTGACGGCCAACCTGATGAAAAGTGGTAACCGTCGCCTATAGATATGAGCAGTACCATGGACATAACAGAGTATACTGTTTCGCCCATGATACCCCCATGCGTTGCCATTCCCGAGGACTCAAGTGTTATTCCTCTGTACCCTGTAAATTCACTGCCATATTTCACACTTTAAATCGCAACACAGCTATGCAAACACAACTGTACCACGGTAGAAACACGGACAAAGGTATCCAAGCAAATGACTTTTGTACAAAGCCTCCCTCTAGTATGTTGATGTTTTAAGAGGGACGTCACTGCCCATCCTTCGACTAATAAGTTCCCTTAGTCGCGTATTTTTTTATTAAAAACATTGAATTCTATCTTTTCAAACTCCATATATCAATAAATCATGCACACAATACGATGGCCGTGCGATGGTTACTTCATAAATGAAATAAATATATTTATTTTCCTTATCCTATTGTGGAATGAATTTTAAATTCTATATCGTGTTATTTAAGACTATATTTGATTATATAAACATAATATCATATCTAATCCCTATATACCTAATGGCTTATTGATACTGGCGTTTTGTGATGAATAAGTTTCGGCTTACTTCACTAAAATAAAAATAGACTAACTTTCCTGATTTTTATGTTGTAACTTTTTTTTTATACAACTGAGAATGGCAAACAAGCTGACGGCCCACCTGATGGAAAATGGTAACCTTCGCCTATAAACATGAGCAGTACCATGGACATAACAAAGTATACTGCTTCGCTCATGATACCCCCCATGCATTGCCGTTCCTGAGGACTCAGGTGTTATTTTTCCGTACCCAGTAAATTCACGCTATATCCCACTCTTCAAACCGAAACACAGCCATGTAAACACAACAGCTTCACGGTTGAAACACGAATGGGACAGAGGTACCCAAGCAATCGACTTTTGTACAAAGTCTCCCTCTGGTTATTATTTAATTGTCGACTTCACTGTATTATTATTTATGAATTATTTATTTATTATTGTTTATGAATAAATAAAATAAAATAGATGGACTGTAATAATTTTATCAGAATAAATATACAGCTACATTCTAAAAATAAAAAAACTACCTAATTCTCTTTATAACTAAAATGATAAAAATTCTGAAACTATTTCTACAATAGTTAACGACGTATTGTAATCGAAGTAAAATGATCCGTATTTATATGTACAAAACAGTACTATTTGATTATCCAACTCGTGAGAGCATCAACATCAGATAAGTGCTCTTTTATTAAAATTTTAACATTTATACATTATATATTTCCACGGAATCTTCGTCCAACCAATTCATAGCTAAAGTCTACAGATGGCAGCACTAGTAAGATAATGTTATTATGAATATAATGCAATGTACGAACGTACTTCGCTGATTGTAACAGCAACAATACAGGTTCATTTGGAAAACTTTTTCATAGAGCTCTCAATCTTGACGTTCGCGACTTGCACCAATTGGCGGACATTGATTTCTTTTAAGAAATAAAAGGTATTTTTTAAAACAAATCTAATAATAAATAATAATAAAAGTCCTGTGTCACGACTTTTGTTCATGCTGATCTAATCACCAGAGGGAGCTTTGTACAAAAGTCGTTTGCTTGGGCACCTCTGTCCCATTCGTGTTTCTACCAGCAGTTGTGTTTGCATGGCTGTGTTTCGGTTTGAAGAGTGGTATATGGCAGTGAATTTACAGGGTACACAGGAATAAAACCAAAATCCTCAAGAATGGTAACGCATGGGAGGTATCATGGGCGAAACAGTATACTCTGTTTTGTCCATGGTACTGCTTATGTCTATAGGCGACGGTTACCACTTTACATAAGGTGGGCCGTCAGCTTGTTTGTCATTCTAAGTTGCATAAAGAAAAATCTTCAAAATAGCTCAATCGATTCTAATAACATTTTGTAGACATTTGCTTCAATTTGATTTTTATTACGATAAAAAAGTTAACTCCGTAGGTGGTGGTAGGGAGCAAAAAAGTTTGCCGTCAGTCTGTGGTTTTTTTTATGGATGATAATGGAATAGTAACCCCGCCTACGCTGTCGGTATACGCAGACGGAACACCAGTGAGGGATGACAGGTGAGAAAGCAGGTTAGCTGGCCCATAAAGACAAATTCATAAAGAATTAGTCAAAATTGTTTACAGGAGGACCCGCGTGGAGGTCGACCTGATAGGATATATTGCTAGCAATGGAGCTGTTAAACCCCATTACGAACAATCCCTTCCCCCCAGTCTGTGGTGTTAGCTAGTAGTACCCTTACTAATATAAACTAACTTTTAATTGTATGTCTATTTATTTGGTTATATCTTGATAAATGAATGAAGTTTTTAAATTGTTAAGTATATTGTATGAATAGGAAAGATTTTTAATGTATTTTGCCTACGAGGGCCTGAGGTGTCAGTTCATTTTGGAAACAGGTCAAATTTTTTAGAAAATATTTTGCCCAAAATAGTTCGGATATATATATATATATATATATATATATATATATAAAATTGTTATTTGTGTGCCTTAATGCAAATAAATTATATATCTATCTATCTATCTATCATAGACATTCATTCGAAATGTCACTTTAAATAAGTCTATGTTTTCTGACGTAAAGATATTAGAAGTTAGCAGTGCAGCTACGTTACATTAGCAATACATAAATGGACAGTGTATAAATATTTCCATAAAGATTGCCAAGCGTGGCAACTACTGACAAAACTCCCCTTATGGGGAAGACTTATGTCCAGCACTGGACAGTTAACGGCAGAAATAATAAAAAAAAATTGCCATGCAAAGCTCAATATTGTCCTTTTTTTTTGTACATACGCTACTTAATCTGTGTGCTGATCCTTGAATGACTTCCGTATATTATCAATTGAGTCAGTGACAAGCTTCATCACATCCACTTTGTCAACATTTTCTATACCTAAAATTGTAGTTTCCAATTTTAATACAAATATTAAAAAAAAAATCAAAGAAACGATACGAGTAATTTGAATTTAGAAAAGGGTTGATCGCACATGAAGACGATATTTTTTTTTATTTCAACTTAGAATGGCAATCAAGCTGACGGCACACCTGATGGAAAGTGGTAATCGGCTATAGACATGAGCCGGACCATGGACATAACAGAGTATTCTGTTTCGCCCATGATATCTCCCATACGTTGCCATTCCTGAGGACTCAAGTGTTATTCCTCTGTATCCTGTAAATTCACTGCCATATCCCACCCTTTAAACCGAAACAGCCATGCAAACACGACTGCTTCACGGCACGGGTCAGAGGTGCCCAAGCAAATGACTTTTGTACAAAGTCTCCCACTGGTCTGTCTGTCTATTTCTTTAATTGAGCACTATTATTCAAAGAAAATAAATAAAAAAAAGTCCACATCGGGCAAGAAAGCGAACGTAATTCATTCATCTTCATTCAAATTTGTCTCATTCATTCCACTAGTTAGTTGATTAGAATTCGACGCCCAAACTTATAACACTAGGCTTCGAGCAGCAATCTATTAATTTGCCTGAAGATGCCTTGTTTAGAAGTGAAACACGTGATGCAAAATGTGCGTGGACTGAATAGCGGTCGGAGATTGATGTAACATGAAAGGTAACAGAAATTCTGGTAACAATAATAGTAGTAAATTTTTGAATTAAACAAAATAATCCTAATCAACTAACTATATAGTAACTTGATTTCAGCAAAATAACGTGACGCAAAATGTGCGTGGACTGAATGGTGGTCGGAGATTGATGTAACATGAAAGGTAACAGAAGTTCTGGTAACAATAATAGTTGTAAATTTTCGAATTAAACAAAATAATCCTAATCAGCTAACTATATAGTAACTTGATTTCAGCAAAATAACGCCCCGTTCAGTAAAAAATTCATTCATTCTATTGCATTCTTTTTCCGTTCAAAAGTTCTAATACTTATGTACATAATTTTATTTATTATGAATTGAACTTATATGAATTTTAGATAATGCTAGCATATTAAATCTTGATACAGGTGCACTGACCGTTTTTTTAATATTAACATTTATACTTTTTGGGCTTTAAATTTTTCATGCCTAACTATGGCGAAATATATGGACTTATACCTATTGTTAACATCCATATACTTACCATGTTTCTTGTAAATAAATATACATTCATTCACTCATACATTCCTTTTCCATCCTTTCCGTTTCCCTAAATATTGGGAGCCATTTACACTTAGCTATTGGAACGTCAAGTGTAAAGGTAAATTTGCAGTTTGTTTATGTTTTTTTTTTATACAACTTAGAATGGCAAACAAGCTGACGGCCCACCTGATGGAAAGTGGTAACCGTCGCCTATAGACATGAGCAGTACCATGGACATAACAGAGTATACTGTTTCATGATACCCCCCATGCGTTGCCATTCCTGAGGACTCAAGTGTTATTCCTCCGTACCCAGTAAATTCACGCCATATCCCACCCTTCAAACCGAAACACAGTCATGCAAACACAACTGCTTCACGGTTGAAACACGAATGGGACAGAGGTACCCAAGCAATCGACGATATAAAGGTGAACTTTACTAACTACTGCGCGGTAATAACATATGACACCACAGATTTGAACAATGTCGTGTGTGTAATGTAAAAATGTGCTAAGGATTGACGTTCTTTTACTAATCGACTGGTAGCTTACACATATTTGGTACTATATTTGGGTAGTAATGACGTCACATCCTATACATACCACATACCACACACATACATACACATAAAAGTGACTTTTCTTATTTTATGAGCAGTTCTAGTTGCTTAAGAGCGTGTTTTAGCACGGAATTCGATTTTCGAATTTAAATACTAACCATTATTTTAATATTAAAAAAAAAAAAAATATTTTTCGTGTACATAATTGATTTAGTATACATAATTTATCAGTGTAAGTATATAAATGTGAGATTAAATCGAAATATGCTTCGATTCAATTCATTTATACAGTGAATTTGTTTAAATGATGCTTATATTTTTAATAGAACATTTAAAGAAATTTTTATTTCTCTTAAACGAAAAAAAGAAGAGTAACTGTGTGGTGTGAATATAAATACATAATCCATTCAAAGGTTGCCTGGAAGAGATCTCTTTTAAGGATGAGGTCACCCATTGTTTTCTCAGTATGAACATTTCTTGTAATTATTTGTATTTATAAGTTTACTACTGGAATCTTTTGGAGGAAACAATGTCTATCTATATTGAAAGCGTAACATACCGGAGGCAGCTATGTTGTCGATGCGCCCGTGGTGCTTCTGATAGTACGGGCGAATGATGCGGTGGTAGATGATCAGCGAGCCGTTGTACTCCGTGGGCAAGTAGCACCATATAATGAAGATGCACTGCAATGTAGAAAATAATAATAATAATAAAAAAAAAAACTGTAAAAAAAGCTCGTATAATTAAAGTTAGTTAACAGTCACATTTGAGAGAATAAAAATTGATAATCTATCTAAATATGAAATAACAATTTAACGATATTTTCATTTTTTATCTATATATTGAACTTACAATATCTATATATTGATCCTACAATATCTATATATTGATTATACAATATCTATAATTGAAATTTCAATATCTATACATTGATCTTTCAATATAACTACCTATCTGTCGATATCTATATACCTATCTTACAATATCTATATACATGTCTTTCAATATCTACATACCTATCTTTCAATATCTATATACCTATCTTGCAATATCTATATACCTATCTTTGAATATCTATACACATATCTTTCGATATCTATATACCTATCTTGCAATATCTATACACCTATCTCTCAATATCTACATACCTATCTTTCAATATCTACATACCTATCTTTCAATATCTAATTATCTATCTTACAATATCTATATATTGGCCATTGAGTGAGACTTTGTACAAAAGTCATTTTCTTGGGTACCTCAATCCGTGTTTCTACCGTGAAGCATGAAGTTGTGTTTGCATGGCTATGTTTCGGTTTGACGGGTGGAATGTAGCAGTGAATTTACAGGGTACAGAGGAATAACACCTTGGTCCTCAGTAATAGCAACCCATTGGTATCATGGGCGGAACAGAAACCTCCTTGGTGTGTTTTGTTAGTAGTCGCCATGCTTGACAGATTTATGCTTATTTTTACCATTGAAGTAATATAGAATACCCAAGCATTAGGTATTACGTAATATTTCGCTTCTGTAGGCGTACGGATCAAATTTACGTCATCCGTCGACCAATTAGGTAATATAACAAAGTAACAAAGTTCATTATCAAGGTCGATTAATTTACAAAAATTGTTCACGTAAACCATGGTTGCACCTGCGGTGATTAGGATAGTACGTTTAAATTTCAGACATTATTATTATTATTATTATTTAAACCGTAAACTGTCCACTGCTGGACATAAGCCCTGCCCATCATGGGCGAAACAGTATACTCTATAATGTTCATGGTACTGCTCATGTCTATAGGCGACGGTTACCATCAGGTGGGCCGTCAGCTTGTTAGCCATTCTAAGTTGTATAAAAAAAAAGTTTTGCCTATAGTTGCAATGCTTGACAGGCGGGTTGGTAACCGCAGTTAGGCTTTTAGAGATGTTTTAAGAGGGACGCTGCTGCCCATCGCCCTCCCTTAGTCGACTCTTACAACACCCACGGGAAAGGAAGGAGTTGATCTATTCTATACCCGGACCACACGGCCAATTACTAACTATTTATGGCTAAATATAAATGTAATTTCACTATGTATTGGTTGAATCTAACCAGTTACCAGAGGGAGACTTTGTACAAGTTATTTGCTTGAGCACATCTGTCCCATTCGTGTTTCTACCGTAAAAAAGTTGTTTGCATGGTTGTGTTTCAATTTGAAGGGTGGGATATGGCAGTGAATTTACAGAGTACAGAGGAATAACACCCGAGTCCTCAGAAATGGCAAAGCATGGGAGGTATCATGGGCAAAACAGTATACTCTGTTATGTCCATGGTACTGCTCATGTCTATAGGCGATGGTTAACACTTTCCATCAGGTGAGCCGTCAGATTGTTTGCCCTGTTAAGTTGCTAATAGAATCATCTTAAAAATAATGAAATAACAGAGCTAGACGGTATAGCTATATACCTATAACAATTGCATTAATGACCTATCCTACTGACAACTATTATAAAGTCCTTCACCCCGATAAATTATACTTAGGTAAATTAATAAATTCATTAAGATAAAATATAAACAAGTTTTGGCTGCAAAGTAACACGAATATAATCTATAACAATTTAAGAATTTGTTCCTCGAATAAAAATAAAAAAAAAAAATACCATTTTCAATGTTGGCAAAAGCAGTTATTTTAATTTTTTAAAAATTTCTATGTGCCCAATCTTTTCAAATCAATATATAAATAACAGAGTTACGAGGTAGGTAAACATAAAAAAAATACAACCGATTTGAGAATCTCTTCTTTTTTTAAAATCGGTTGAAAATCACAGTGCTCCACCAGTGTTACCAGCATACGCTGGCAGGCTTACCATTCTATTGTGAACCATTACAAAAGAAAACACTCTATGATAATGGAAAACACTATTAATAAATCAAATTAGTCCTAGGCTTGTATTATAATATGCTCAGCGAAACATAGGTAACAGTTACTCTTTTTCAACCGACTTGAAACAGAAGGAGGTTCTCAATATAGTTGTATTCTTATTATATTTGTTACTTTATTACTCTGTTGTCTATAAGATTGCTTTTAGCGATAAGGCCGCCTTTTGTACATGCACATTCTGTATAAATACTCCTTGTATACATCTCTTTTGTGCGCAATAAAGAGTTTATTATTATTATTATTACTCTGTCAATTTTAAACCGATTTGAAAAATTCCTTTTTTAACTGAAAAGGTAATCGGTTCATTTCAGTTTCAGTTTTTAAATCAAAATCGTTGGTTTGATCACAATTGAAGGCGGATTTTTTGTGGGAATCTTTAATTATTTTTATAAAGTATTTTTTAAAACAATTTTTGTTCATATTATCATGGAATAAATTGAATAATGGTTGTATGTCATAAACCTATTATAAGTACTTAATGTATGTGTTGATTTTATATTAGTAGTTCATTTTTATCAGCCTGTGGGCAATAAATAGTCTACAAATATCTTATCATCAAAATTATTATTGATTCATAAATTTTAGTCACTTCCGTTAAATTCTAAAGGGATTCGTGCCTACTTTTATTTGCAATATTTATTGTAATTATATTTATGTCATCATATCAGCCTTTAACTGTCCATTGCCGAACATAAGGCTCTCCCTTGGAAGGTTTGCCAATAGTTGCCAGGCTTAGCAACCGCAGGTAGGCTCTAGAGATGTTTTAAGAGGGACGCTGCTGCCCATCCCTTAGTCGCCTCTTACCATATTCACGGGAAAGGAAGAGGTGGCCTAATCTATGCCGGGAGCACACAGTAATTATATCTTACTATCATAAATGCTAAAATTTATGAAGATGTTTGGATGTTTGTTACTCAATCACGCTTAAACATTTGATCCATCCTAACTTCTTAATAAAATTATAACTTAACTTCACATGCTAATTTGTGTGAGCAAAGTCGCAAAAGATACTAGTCAATTATATAGTTAATTAATCGCTTGACTGTACAATATGTACAAGAAAAGTCTTACTGAATTTAAAGTGAAAGGATGTGCAGACATTCAGTTCATAACATTACATAATACATTAAGTTGAAATACTAATGGATTTAAATGCGTGCACACAGCAATTTGTAAATGCTCTATAAATTTGATATGACAGATAATAATATCATAGCCATACTTTTGAAGGAATGTTCTCTCAATAAACATAAAAATTTATCCTCAATAGTTTTTTTTTTTTTCAAATTGATCTTAAATAATATTTGATATGCAATATATTTATATTTTAAAACATTTAAGCATCAAAAGATGCTTCTTAAGATGATCCTTAAGATCTGCTTCTCAAATAAAAAAAAAAAGTTGCAGATCCAAAACAGTCTTTAAAAACTTATGCACCCTAATGACAAATTCCATATTATGACGTTAGACTACCTATACAAAGAATATTTCTATTATTGAATAGGCAATATTTATTCAGTTTTTGAATGCTCCCAAATCTACGACAGCAGACATAGGTATTGGTAATAAACCTTTATTGGATGGAGGATTATTTAGTAACTATTACATCTTGTATGTAATATCTACTAATCATTTCTCAAATCCAATTGTATTTTAAGACTTGGAATATAGAGATCAAATTTGTGGTTACAGTGTTAACACGGCAATGTAACATAGAGTTTTAAATATTTTATAATTCTTACGCAAGTCTAGCGCATAACATGTAGATTCTAAACCGTTAAAAATGCAATAGTAATTAACAAGTTTATGTAGTGTTCATAATGAGATATGTGATAAGTAGATCACTGCTGCCTACTGTAATAGGTAGTTTCAAAGCAATATATATATATATTTTTTTTGTATTTTCTGTTCCTAGTTCAGTCTAATGATGAAGTACATAATTAACACTTGGCATTAAGGCTTGGTTTGTTTGATAATCTAATATTATTAAATAACAATATCAATTAACATGTTTAGTATCATGTATGTACGGGTATCATAGAATATACTGTCATATATACCCTTATTAACCTGTGTGTATATGATGAGACTGACCATCTTGATGTTTCCCATAGTAAGGGTTTTTAATGGGTGATAATGGAATGGTAACCCCACCCGCGCTAACGGTATACACCGGCGGGGCACCAGTGAAGGATGATAGGTGAGGATGAAGCAGGTCAGTCAGCCCATTGTGACGAATTCAATAAGAATTGTTCACGATGGTTTCCAGGGGGAACTATGCGGAGGTTGACCTAACAGGGCATATTGGTAGCAATGGGGCTGTCAAACCCCATTGCTAACAATCCCTCCCCCCCCCCATAGTAAGGGTAGGTCAGGGTACTATAGATATAACTAAAGTAAAAACTCTTGACTATGCAATTATTTTGGAAAATGAATGAAAGTAAGACATTTGGTGCGGCAAAACATCACATGTGGTCCTGGCATAGAATAGGCTACTCCTTCCATTTCCACGGGTGTCGTAAGAAGTGACTAAGGGAGAGTGAGAGAGCCAAAGCTCAACTGCGGTTGCCAGCCCGCTTGCCCAGCGTGGCAACTACTGGCAAAATCCCCCAAGGGGGAGGCTTATGTTCAGCAGTAGACAGTTAAAGGCTAAATATGATGATTCAGAAAACACTGTTTTGCCACCTACTGGGTCTATTTTTTCCTATTGCATTGAAAACTATTCTTGTCTCAAATTAAAAAAACAATATTAATTTTGTAAAATTTCATTAAAATCGGTCAAACATATTTGGAGATTAGAGTGAACAACAAATGTTAAGATTTTTAGATTTTAAAATGCATGTACCCCAAGCAGATTTCTCAAATAGTAAATAGAAAAAATCCATTTAAAATCATTATAAAATGTTACATTAATTTTTTTTTTATTAAATTAGAAGTATATCTTGTGACTTTTAATATCTTTAGTTATAATTTATTCACAAAAAAAAAAAAAATATAAACCCAATGGAGTAATCAGAAAAATCAATTGCTTTTGTTATGGCAAACAACTATATATTAATATAAGAAAATTGTTCATAATATCATTAAACACATTTCAATCCAACCTGAAGTTACTCACATATTGTTGAAAATGTTTCAATCTAATTAACAAGAGGTTTCTAAAAGACAGTAGTAATTCTGCCCTTTAATTTGTTAATAAAGTTTACCAAGACTGTTTTACTTTTCTATCCTTTCTTATAATAAAGAATATACAAAATACAGTAAAAAATAGGGTAGCTTTTATAAAAGGATTTTAAAAGTCAACCATATAACAGTAACGATCAAAGTGCAATTCTGTTAAGTTTATGTAAAATCATATATACTTTAATTTTGATATTCATTTTTAAACTTACTAGTAACGTGTATAATCAGTAACATATGGCAATACTAACCTTTATTAACCAATAAAGCGGGAACCAGCCCACGATGAAATCAGAGAAGTATTCGACGATAGAGAAACACGCGTACACCACCCAGTAAGTGAGCCATTTGGTATCGTCGTCTTTTTGTGGCGATTCGAGGGCTTTCATCGATCTATAGGCCGGGTATACAAAACCAATCGAATTGCATATCAATTCAGCCCCGAATCCAAACACTAAATATAAACCAGTGAACGCCACCAGACCTGCATAAGAGATGTTAAGATTTGAAACGTCAAAGCCACCGCTAAGGATAAAAATAAACGTGGAAAATTAACGCACCAGCGAATAGGTAAACCCTGTTCACGCCGGTTTTCTGCTCTGCCGCTTCGAAATATTTCGTCCATGGTTTGCTTTTATCGTTCAAATTACGCTCTAACGTGTCTTTGTACTCCTGTAATTTGGAACCCATTTTGTGAGATGGTTATGCGTCTTTTTTTTATAATTTAAGAAAGCACTAAAAATGCGACTCGTCGGCAACGACTCGTTGACAAGACAATGAAATGAATGAATGAATAATAATTTGTGTCAAGGATGACAACGAAAGAATGACAGATGTCTGACTACGGCTGCAACCATAGATTAGGAATATGCAACTTTCTAATTTTCATGTTATGTGGCTTTGAGTTCTAGGCTTTTCAATATGACAAGGAAAATCATAAACTGCACTCATTAGTAGGTGAATCAAATTTATGGTAGCAGTATAGATTACGGTTTGTGCCATTTATGAATTTGAAATTATAAAGCTAAAAACTAAAGAAATAACATTAATTAAATAAAGTGCGCTTTGAACATGTAATTGATATCAAACCTTATTGGTTTTACAATGAATCAATCTTGCGAGATTGAATATGAAACACATTTACTGCGTTGGGTATTTATCGTATCTGGCTATTGCTAAACATAGGCCAGTTCTTTAGGAGGGTTTTCAGTAGTTATTACACTTAACAGGTAGGTTGGCAACTACAGTTAGGTTTTGTTAATGATTTAAGAGGCACTATGCTGTCTATCCCTCGATCATTATATTTCCTTAGTTGCTTTTTTATCCACAAGAAAGGGGAAAGTAATTCATTTTATGCCTGGTCTACATGGGAATGAGAAAAATATTAATGTATTGCATTGTTGCATGAGATTTGAACAAAGCAATAGAAAAGTAAAATAAAAAACACTTCTCTCATAATTTTTTAATGTTTTAAAATATGAAAAAGCTTTAACAATACATTTTCATCGTTTTGTGCCTCATAAAATAAATATTTTATTTAATTTTATAATCGAGAATCAGATCTGATAAAGTCCTATCTAATATACAGTGATTTTGCGGAAGAATTCAAACACTATGTACAGTTAGCATAAAAAATAGGTAAACATTTGCCTACAAATTTCTCAAACCTTGTAATGATACCGGTTTTTCATATATAGGTAAGTTGTCTTTCAAGATTCTTTTTTGCCAGCAATGATTGATCATCGTATAAAGTCAAAATATATGAGTATTACATAGATGTTATGTAAATATTAGTATTCATCGACTTTTAATGCTAACTGTACCCACTTTTAATAAGAACAAAGCATTACAATTCATGGAAGAATAGAATTGGTTATTAAATAATATAATTATCTGATAATATTAATAACTATATATTAAATTTGCGACGTTATAGTAATATAGTACAGTACATAACATTGCGTAAATGAAGTCCTAGGTTCGATTCTCGATAGGTTAGTTCAGTCGGCTCATATTGGAAGTTTTAGGTTATGCGCTCAGATATTCCTGGTTATATTTATTTAATTAGAATAAACATATGTGCTTTTAATAAGTACCCAAAAAATGAAATATTTTTAAGCTGTATCCACCGGATATTAGGATTGTTTATGAGGTGTTATTCCTTAAAACCTATACATATCTAAAATTAAAATTTCAATTTGATATCACACCAATTAATCAGTAAATTTTAAATAAAAATATATATTTCAAAGATTCAACAAATTATTACAAAGTATAATTTCTCTGACATAGCAAATAAATATAGCCATAGCAAATAAATAACACTATAAATAATTTTAGAGACCTACATACCCATATTTCTGTTTACTGCAGTGCGGGGTATTTAAATTAAATATTTCTTATCATAGCTCTATCTACGGGCGGAATTATTTATTTGAAATCACACATTAAAGAAAAATTAAAAGACTTGTTTATGATAAGTTACCTATAATAATAAACTGGGTAGAACCAATACTCATATATCGTGATTTATGGATGTGACAATGTCTTCAAAACCTGTTTTTTCTCCCATTTAAATCCCATATAAGTAAGAAGGGTTGCAACAAATTTATTCGCATTTTACAAATAATTTAACGAAATGACAACACTCGTTTCCAAGAGTGAACAGACGCATGCTCTTACTGCCATGTGTGTTGCATTGCATGCAATGCCCTGAATTATTTAGGTTTTAAACAGAAGGAGATCGTCAGTGTACCATCGTAATTATTATAATTAAATCCATAGGAGTTTCGATTCTACCTGTTTATTTATTATAATAGTTAGATAGTACTTAGAAACATTTAGATTTGTCAATCCTTTATGTGCAAACGTGCAATATGTATCTAAATATTAGAAAATGGTGCTCTCAGTGCCTTCATAATAAAAATAATATACTAGTGTCTAATATTATTAAGGAACTTAATTTTTTTACAATAAATTGACTAGAAAATAAATATTCACTTCTAGCTATAGACAGTATCCTTGTAGATGAAGTTACAGATTCTGTGGTTATAGGCGTAGTTCATAATTGTTTAAACAGAGGTAAAAAAGATACATCTCTATAAATAGATACATAGATATAAATTTGATTATTTATTGACTGTAATTCAGCTGTACGTTTTCTAAAAAATAAATATATAAATAATTATTTACACATAAAATATAGAAAACAGATTATAAATACTAGAAAATATTAAAATGATAATAAACGAATTAAGTAAAGAGGCACATGTAATAGATAAGAAGATAGCAAATGCGGGAAAAATGGATATTATAAGAAGTACAAATTTTTTCAATAAATTGATAATGCAATGACAATTTAGGAAGAGGTTTTTTTGACTTTTACAAACAACAATTTTAACTGTAACTGATTTTTAGTTTGATTCTGGACATTCTAATTGATTACAAATGACTAGTAAAAGTAATGATTATTTTAAAGACATTTAGAGTTAGAAAATCACATCATTTATCTAATTCTAGTTATAGATATTTCTTTTGTTTCTGTTGTAGAAGTAGAAAGTTAGTTTGCTATTGTTGAAAAATAAAAAAATAAATATGATTTAAAAAAAAAAAACAGTATATATCTGTCTAAAAAATGTCTAAAATTTATTTTGAGAAGCAAAAACAGAAAAGCAAGTTAAAGTTGAAAGACAAGAGAATCGTATCCATAATCAATTGAGAAAATATTTCAATAATGTTCAATATTTCTTATTGTTAAGTGGGCATAGATTTTTTTTTTCTTATTAGTGCTAGAATAGGTAATTAAAATGCTATGCAACACAGCGTTATTTAGTAAGCGTTAAAATCCACATCTAGAAAAAAGTTCGTGCTATCACGGAAAATAGTTACACTTACAGATATTTTTTTTATTCTTTAGAGTTCATAAAAATTGAATAAAAGATATGAATTCTAATAACGCGCATACTGTTAGCTCTATGATTTTTTTTACTTATAATAAAAATAAAAAAAAAATAACGGCTTATTCAAAATGTATAAATATTTTTCCTATCTATACTTATTTTTATAAATTAATGAGATTGGTCTCAGTCTTATACTATTTGTGTAAATATTTAAACATTGAAGTGATAGGGAATGAAATATGTATACATATTTTGTTAATTTACGACGATAATAAAATTTTCAATAAACAAACAATTAAAATATTTCAACATTAAAATCAACATTTAACATTTGATACAAAAATGGCTTTATTAAAAATCCTATCTAAATGTATATTTATTAACCTAATGGATTTTATACAGTTTGGGACCTAACTGCAACATCTATAATGAATTTTGGAGCAGTGATGCCATCAACTTTTTTAATCATTCCAAACTTTCCCATTATTTTCATTTACACCATACTTAAATATGTATTCTTCCTTATCTTATTGTTTCCAGAAGCCTGCATCAATTTGGACGTTTTTTTTATTACGCAAAAAAAAAAATTAATATATTAAAATTTGCAGTCACAAAAATGTGGGAAGACTTGGCTGTTAAGATTAAAAAAAAAAGAATGTTACGTAGTTTCAATTGCAAATTAATTGTTTAAAAATACTTATTTGTTGAGATCTGTTGAGAGACATACGAAACGTTTGAAATTAGAATGCAGGCTTCGGAAGTTTCTTTGGCGTTATCAACGTTACAATATTTATTAAATGCGTCATTTTATTTGAATGAAAATCTTTCAAAATCACAGTTTTTTTTATACCACCATTCTAATCAACAAACTAACATTTTATTTCTAAGCAGTATAATATAAAATTATTTACAAACAAATAACGCAGATATAAAATAATTATATATCAGAATCTTTTATTGAATACGAAATGTCAGACCTTGCACTAACATATCATCAAGTGTTAGTGTAACATATATCGTGACGTATAAATGCATTTGAGATTTTTTGTGCTCATAATTTATTAGTTCAATTGCCAAGTGGATTAATAGTTATAATTTTGTCTTTAAATCTTGCAATAATACAATAATTAACGCACCTATCAGTCCATTTTATTAGGGTTTTAGTATATATGGATGATTAATTGAGATTTAGGTTATACTCTTTGTTTTATGAAAGACTTAGACTTATTATTAAAAAGTAAATATGCATTGTACCTTTAATGAATAAATATTTGTAGGTGAAATAGAAATCATTAGTATCATAGAAGGAAAAAAATCATTCAGCGAAATCGAAAATTTCGATTGTAAGAATTTGAGTCTTCTATCCCATATTAATATGGCTTATCCAACTGTCAAAATTAATGTGTTGAAAATCGAAAACTTTTTGGCGTCACAAATTGTTGCGCCATTTTTAACTTGTTTCTTTTTATGCATGTTTCAATTTTATTAGCAAAACACTTTTTGAAAATGTATTAATAATTTCGATGACTCCGTATTTTTTTTTTGTGTGGTATTGTTGTGTATATTGCATTATTATTTTTTGGTAATTTTTGAAACATAAAATTTGATCCGTCCTCGAATCCGGCTAGAGATATGTTACGAAGCTTTGTGCTTTTTCCTTGCATCGCGACGGTGTTCGCTTGTTGGATGGGGCTTTAGTTCTCTACAGTCCAACTGAAAATAATAACATAAGGTTGAATATAATTTTTCTTTAATAAAAAGAAATTAATACTTTTAATTAGTTATTAATATTATATTATTATCATTAAAGAAATTAATACTATTAATACTAAAATAAGGAAAGTACATAAAATTAATGCTACAATTTTTATTTAATTTCATTAAAGATTAATAAACACTTTTAACACAATTAATAGAATATAAATACTGATTTATATTCTATTAATTGTTATATATATTTAGGTATATATATTAATATATTATATTCTATTAATGCATAGGTTACATATTACTATTTTTAATAATTGGTATGTCAATGAGTTTCTTACAAAAGAAATGTAATTCTTTTTTTTTATGCAACTTAGAATGGCAAACAAGCTGACGGCCTACCTAATAGAAAGTGATAACCGTCGCCTATAGACATGAGCAGTACCATGGACACAACAGAGTATACTGTTTCACCCATGATACCCCCCATGCGTAGCCATTCCTGAGAACTCAGGTGTTATTCCTCTGTACCCTGTGAATTCACTGTCACCACCCTTTTAACACAGCCATGCAAACACAACTGCTTCACGGTAGAAACACGAATGGAATTCATAATAAAGATTCTATCAAACGTGATGTTCGTAGATATTTTAATGCAATAACTAAAATGACTAAAGTATGTATAGAAGAATCTATTTTTTTATATAATGAATTAAATAATTATACTTACTAAAATTTCATCATCAGGTACTCTTGATAGTAAATCTAAAACTTCATTATTAGGTATTGAATGTGGCCGTAGAATTTTCCTTGTAAATTTATTAACACCTAAAAGAATATTTGTATTAGTTATATTAACAATTAGACAAATCTACTTTAGAGGTTCCTACTACCTCTGAAGGTAGCAGGCTTGAAGATAAGTCTATATGTATGTATAATGATATCTTTTTAAGTATAAAATAATACCTATGTAGTAAAACTGAAAACACGATAAATTTTCCATTTTTGTTCTTTCCAGTACTTAATATTATATCTTCCATGTCTAGATCATCATCATCATCATCTTTAAAGTTTTATTATAATAGTAAAATAATAATGAATTTGACTCACCCCATGCCATGAGCAGGTATCTCAATGGTATTATATACAATACTAGCATAGCTCCAAAGCACATTATTATGGCTAAATAACTTAGATATGGCACCGTGAAATTCATTAAACTGAAACAACAAATCATGTCATATTTTTTTGTCTAAATTACACAATTTAAAAATACTATTAATTTGCTTTTTGACTCACTTTTTTACAGCTTCTCCTAGTGAAGCTACATAACCAATAGCATTTTGGACTGTTTGTGTCACTTCTTGTATTGCTTGCAATCGTTCTTTTAGTGATTTCTTTTCTTCCTGGAAAAATAACATACTACATAATAAATCAATAACTGCAGTAAGTAACATTGCTTATAAACAATAAATAGTTAGTTTAACAAAATTTTAATTCGTATAGGTATTTGGTAAATATAATCTCATCATTTGTATATGCTTTAAACATTTCCGAACGCAATATCCTTCTACCCTCCTTGCCTATCCATATTCCCTATCAAATCTGGGATCACATTGGGGGGTAGATGGACAAAATCAGTATATAATCCAACTGCGTGTCGAGCTGATCAAGTTCCGCCAAGATCACCAAAAATCTCCGCCAGTTGCGAATTAGTCAATCAGCCGCGATCTCCGCGCAACATACAGTGGTATTTAAGCGAAATCAACACAAATGTTAGATATTTAGAAGAGAGAACGAGAACGCGTACAAAAGACCTACACGCGGGGACTACGTGAACCAGGTTTGTCCTTTACCCTTCTTTTTATCCAACAGTATTTTTATAACTTGAACATGATTTTTGTAGCATATGATTTGTGTAGCAATAATTTTGTATAAAAAAAGCGTCTAGACCCCACAAGTTATATTTTGTTCAAGGCGTGAACTGCGAATATGTACTTTAATAGTCTGTGATTTATAATATACTAGCTTTTACCAGCGACTTCGTTCGAGTGACCATATGTTTACTGACCGAAATAAAAAGTACCCTATACCCTTCTTCATCTCATATAGTATGTACATACTAAATTTTATACTAATTGATTAAGCCGTCAAGGTGCTATAAGGTAACAAACAAAATCACTTTTACATCATTAGTAAGGATTGTATTTCTCACCTTATCTGCTTCGTCTTCATCGTCTTCTTCGGCTAATAGATCTTCATCATCCACTGGTATAAGTAAAGGATTGCCTCCTAAAACATTAACAGTAGAGTTGTAACAAGTATCAATAAGTTTATGAACTACTAAAGAAACATGTAAATATTTTATTTGGGTTTTATTAAATAAATTAGTATTAAGATCTAGCAAACCATGACGATTAAGAAATAATAAATAAATAAATGTATTTCTTCCTCCACGATTCAGTATAACTTTATATATAACAAATATTGCACGACATACTGTAATTTTTGTTCATCCCGGAGGAATAAAGTCATCAGTTATTGTCAGCAATAAATTATGCAAACCAACACCTATGTACACAATATCATGCAGAATTCTTTTTTTTAGATTTCTTTCTACAGATTGTTAGTTTTTTGTTATTGTTGTTATTATCTGAATATTAATGTATAATGGGGTCGATTCTGAGGTGTCGTTTGTCTAAACATATCTCGAAAATTTACATTTAATATCAGCGAAATCTTTATTGTAAAGAACGATATGAACTAATTTCCTAACAAATTTAAGTCAAAAATATTATATTTTTAGTTTCTGATAAGTTTAGTTTAGTTTTCGAATTATCAAATTATAATATTAGGTTAAGAGATAAGTTTAGAGCAATAGCATCTTAGATTCGGCCACAATATAAAGAACACATAACTTTTCATTTGTAATAAACGAAACAAAATTTAAAATACAAATTCTCTTTTATAAGATTTTCATGCTCATGATACTTAACACAAAAATCTGTGGAACTTACTCCTAAATAACATAGATATATATGCCCATGGATCACTTCTAAAGGTGTGGTAGACGCGTTTAAATTTAACTATAAATTGTAACAACGAAAACATTCATTAAAAAAAAATCTATAAACATAAGCAATTCAAATGTATAAAATAACAATAATGTAAAAACAAAATAACAAAATTGCAATTTGGTAATGAAATGGACGATTATAAAGATATTAATAAAAGTCATAATACCTGTTAACCTATAGATGAGCCAGTTGCGACTGAAAAATATTAATAATAAAAAGGGCAACATCCACATTTCATAGTAGTAACAAAAAGCCAACCACGCTAAGAGCCCTGTGAATGATAATAACCTTGATTCCCATTCAAAACAGTCTCTGAAATAATTGAAATATCGTATTAATATAACGAATTAAGCGTTCTAAAAGATTATTTAATTAAATATTCAGTATAATAAAAAATTACAACATTAAATTACAATACTGTATCTGTATAATTGTTGAGTTCCCCAATGATATTAATTAATATAAGTCAAACGCATTAGGTGTTATTCTCAAGAAATCTGTCCGATTCTAGAATAAGGGAATATGGAATATTCTGGAATATGCGACTCCGGCCTCCCGAGCCGCTGCAGTGTCCCCCCCTCCGTTCCTTTCCCTCAAAAGTCCCTTATTCCTCTTGTTTACCAATTTCCTTTATGCATTTCCAACGTTCCCTTTCTTTTTTCCTCTATCCTTTCCTCCATACCGTGATGGCGGAAATCACCAACAAAATGCATTCCCAAAGAGGATTGACGTCAGGCCGACGTCCGGTCGTAAAATTATAAGCCAAGTCTTTTTGCAGTATGGATAAAAACCTATTACGCCGACCCTAAATAATAATTGAGATAACGGTAGGAAGAAGAAGAATATTAGTTAAATGACGTGGTGTTTCTCAGGGTAATCATCTGAGCCCTATTATTGTTATATAATTATTATACTTTTTATTTATTAATTATGCTCACTGTAAAATCTTTCCAACTTCTATGAACCACATTATAATGGCTTTCAATCTCATTACGTTTCTTATGAACAACTGTCTTTTAAATTTGGCCTCTTGATGCATGTACTTTGGTTCTTTTGGATTTACCGCTCTTATTGCTGCTTTTAACTGAAAAAAAACAAACAATAAATATACAAGTTTATTGCATTATAGAAAGCTTCATCATCGACTTCTATTATTTAATTAAACAAATTTTAAACACGAGACATCATTATCATATCAGCCTTTAACTGTCCACATAAGCCATAAGCTTCTTTCTTGGGGGGCTCTGCCACGTTAAGCGAGCGGATTGGCAACCGCAATTAGGCTGTGGAGATGTTTTAAGAGGAACGCTGCTGCCCATCCCTCGCCTTCTCTTAGTTACCTCTTACGACACCCACGAGAAAGGGAGGGGTGCCCTATTCTATACCAGGACCATAAGGGTCACGAGACATAATTATTGATATTAATATATTATTATTATTACATTTTATAACTGTTTTTTTTAACATATTAAATTTAATAATAAAAAGACCAGATTAAAGTGGCTTTTAATAATATTATGTTATCATATTTTTTCTTAAATTCATAAGATATTATATTCTTTAACTGTAGTGTATGTCAATATAATAAAACTAGTAAACCTTAAGCTATTAAGTGTCAATCGATATATCTACTAACTGGATTCCATATAACCATCATTTCCAATAATATTTGGGGATAATTCCCCTTCGCTCTCGCTCTCATCTTCTTGTCCTTTAAGGCATACCATCTTTTTTCTCCGTTACGAATGCTCAATATTGGTATTGTTAGTTTCCCGAGGAACTCCACTTTATGGTCATGATCTTCATCATATACAGTAATTTCAAGGTATGAGCATATATCTTTTACGGTACTGGAAATAAAATTAAAAATTTCAGATTTTCCTAAATTATCTTTATCAGTACAACTTATTTTAGAACCAGGAATAATATAAAGTTTTAATTGGAGTTTTGAAATCAGTGAATGACAGACTTCCATGCCCTCTGAAGCACGGAGTATTATTTTTTATTTGAATTACCTACTATTCAATCGAAAATAAATATACTTACAATGTAAATATCTTCATCCAGTTTGGCGTTAGAGTTTTATATTCTGTGTGCGTCTGTAATCTAGCATTACCTAATTCTAGAACACAAAAAGGATCGGATTTTCCTCCCAAATCGGCAGCAGCCAGACCTTTAGCTCCGTATACTTTGACACACAGCCATCCAACACCACTGGATGTCTCATTTAAACGATACCACGTCTGTAATATCATAAAAAACAATATATAATCTGATGTAAATAAGATATGTACATGAAATTAGCTATTATAGATGGTACAGCGAGTCACCCTAAATACACCATTTTTTTTGTGGATGATAATGGAATGGTAAAATCGTCCATTACTAACAATTCCTTTCTCCCCTAAACACACTATAACGTTGCAAGCTCATTTAGTAGATGAGTCGAAAGTCAGGGAGTCGATCTGTCAATTCGCTACGACACTACACTAATCTGGCCATATTTGGCGCCCCACCTTGGGCGCGTGCATTTAGGGCGACTCGCTATAATACTTCTATAGTGAAATATCGTGTGTATAATGCTTGGACAATGTTATTTTTAACAATATGAGGTAATTTTTTATACGTTGCATTAAGCAAAACTATCATAGTCTTTATGTGATAGCTCATCAAAGCTCTAATAACAATACCCATTTTAATTCAAATTTTTTACAGATAACTTTTAGATTCCATGGAATTCATAAATTCTGGGAAACACCTAACAAAGGAATATTATAGTCTATAAAAATATAATTGCAATGGTTTTTATGCAAATCTACCTTTTTAATATTCTGTAAAGTTAAAGACAAAGGTAAATTGGAGGTAGTTACGTAGAAAATTCTCATCTTTTATAGATAACTTACATATCTCTTTTCCATATTGGCGATATCTCTAGGGTTCTCTCTGTAGCTTGTTAGATCAGTAATTGTCTCTGACTGAGTAGTGCCACTTATAGTAAGAAGTAAAAAGATCTGTCCATTGCCATCTTCTAGGTCTTGCCATATGCTGTGCGTAATTTCCCGTTCCAATCTCGAGAGATCTATTGAGCATCTAAAGAAGAAAAATGTTTTGTTTAAAAAAAAAAATAGGTTTCATTTAAAATCAGTGATTTTCTATAAAACTTTTAAAGTAATTAGTTTTCCAATACCAATATCTTTAAACGAAGCGAATACATAAATTTTGTAGAAGAACAATTTAAGATAATAAATCTGAGGTAGCGTCAAGAAAACACACATCTGCATAATCCATAAGGGGAATTAATAATGTTTGGGCTAAATGTACTTTTATTTTAACAGTTAGAAAATTTTGTGAACGCCTGAGTGAATGAACAGTCGTTTGTACTTTTTTACTTATCTAGTTTACGTGAGAGGTTCAGGAGAGATTTCTCTTTGTTTCAGGAGAGATTTCAGGAGAAAGAAATAGAATGGATTATGGTATACCTAATGAATATTGTTTACTAACTTTCCTATAAAGTCGTCTTTTGTCTGTTTATCCTTGTCCCAGACGGTGACTTCTAGTATTTGTTCCTGGTCATCGTATAAATGTAGGTCGAACTGTTCCAACCACGACGGATGTAAAGTTTTCCAAACCACTTTGCTTTTATATTTTTCGTTACCTAATCTGGAAGAATGATAAATTATTGAAATTAATAATAGAAATTTAAAGTAACTAACTATATATTTTTTTTTAAATTGAACGGATTAGGAATTTAGAAATACAATAAGGTTTGTTCTGAGGTATCATTGCCTAAATTAATAAATAATATTATTATTTTAATATATGTATATGAATATTTATATATGAATTTTTATTTGCAAGAAACATGGTTAGTATATAGATGTTAAAAATAGGTATAAGTCCACATCATCACCATCATCATCATCATCATAACGCCTTTAGCTATCCACTGCTGAACATAAGCCTCTCCTTTGGGGAGTTTTGCCAGTAATTACCACCCTTGGCAGGCGGATTGGCAACAAATAAGCTCACATATTTACCACAATTAGGCATTAATTAAAATTAAAATTTTAGAGATAAATTTTAGCAAAACAGTTATTAGTTTAGTAAAACTATTATGATTGAATGATTACCAAGTAGCCTGTAAAAGATTGCCTTTAGCGATAAGGCCGCCTTTTGTCTATATACATTCTGTATAAATACTCTTTGTATACATCTCTATTGTGCGTAATAAAGAGTTTATTATTATGTTTCAGACCATCAAGAATTAAATTAAAAGTATAAGAGTTCTGACAGAAATCCATTAAAAAAATAGTTTATATTGGCTACCACTAGCTTTTGGAATAAAACCACCTGGGTATTTACTATTTCTTTTATGTACCTGCCAAATCCGTCCATTTATCAAAATGGACCAATGTTTGTTAGTTTTTCACGCAAAAACCGTTTGACAAATTTAAATAAAATTTAGTAGTCGGATAGGTTATATTGTTATTTAGGATAATTGAATACTTTCAATACCGATTCATGTAAGTAAAGCCACGACACATAGCTAGTCTTTAATAATTTACTAACAATGTAAATTTTAAACAAAAACCAAACTTACCTAAACTTACAATATGGGTCACTGGACCTCGTATCCAGGTCCATGGCGGGGAGATTCTTCGCCTCCACCAGTACGATGGTGACCACAGAACTCCATATTTGTGCTTTGAGCCGTTTATTCACGTCGCTTAACCTCGTATTCTTCAGTAAATACTGAAACAAATTAATATATTTTTATTAGTAGGTATACCAGGTCGACGATGTTATAGGAAGGGGATTTCTGATAATGAAGATTAACATCCACATTGTATCCCATTAAATCGACTTCCACGGTGTTCTCCCTGGAAACCAATGTGGTTTCATCATCATCATTTCAGCCATTATCTGTCTAGTGCTGGACATAAGCCTCCCCAAAGTCTGCCATAAAAAAACAGTCCTGAGCCACCTGAAGCCACTGGTTTACTCAGGATAAATTGATCACGATGTAACTAATTTACCAGCGTACATTAATTTGGGATGGGTAATAGACAATATTTATATATTTAGGTTACAATACAATACTATACTATACAATATACAATATCCAATAACGAATACGTTAAAAGTCTGTTATCCAAAAAAATATTTTTTGGATAACAGACTTTTAACTTTTAACATATTTATCCAAAATAGATATCCGACCGACCGATGAGCGATATCGAAATGGCTGATGACCTTTTTTTGCCATCAATATCCAAAAATATTCATATTACCCATGCCTATTGTACATGGTAAATATTAAAAAAATATATGTAAGGGATTTTAATAGAAGCAATCAATATAAGCTAAATGTTTATATTTATAATAGGTTTACTATTGTAATCTTTTGGAGGAAACAATAAAGAGTATCTATCTATCTATGTAAAACAATACAGTAATTTTGTCGATATATATCTTTGCTCCGACATTACGCAAAAATTACTGCACCAAATTGAATGCTATTTTCACTGATATATTCCTGAAGGTGTAACTTAAAAATTGGTATATGTTTTATTTTGATTCGTTATTTAAAAGTCGTTAAATCCATTAGCTTTCCAACTCCTGAAATTCGCACATATGAAGTAGCGGGCTAATTATTTGTATTGTTAATAACTAACCAAGTAAAATACATATTAATAACTACTACAAGCAAAAACATGGCTTAAGGAAAACTAGTTATCATATGCCTGTATGTAACAGGCAAATAGAAATAAATATATGATAAGAAATTAGTATTATGCGTTACCTCATTTATTTTTTGTTTCCCAAAAATTCATTATTATTTGTAATTAATTTATATATAAAATATGAGCTAAATTTATTGTTGACACCAAAAGTTTTTGTAATAAATATGGTGTAGGTGATGAATATTTCATATAGGTTTTAACCTATATAGATTACCATGGTTGTCACACTATATTCTGTGATGTCTACTATACAATATCATGTATATCTATAAGCAACGATTATTACTTTCCATTAAATAATTCGTCAGCCTGTTTGCAATTCTAAGTTGTATAAAAAACTGGACTTTGATCCACTGACTTTTCGTTGAGTTAGTATCCCATAACACAAGTCTCGAACTTACTTTGGGGCTAGCTCAATCTGTGTGACTTTGTCCGTATATATTTATTTATTTATTATAAAATTTTCAGAAACTGAAATCTCGTATGTGCTTATTTTTACTAATCGAATCGGTAAATATAAGTTAACACTGGGTACATACATGGGCGACACAGTATACTCTGGTACTGTTTATGTCTATTACCACTTTCCATAAGGTGGATAGTCAGCTTGTTTACTATCCTAATTTACATAAATACATCGGCGTTTTCCATACAGGTATGTGCTATACCTATATGTATTAAAAATTAAAAAAAAATTAAGTATTCCTATCAGTTGCCTGGTACAAGCACTTTTTAGTTAGGTACCAGATAGCACTAATAATAGTAATATGTCCAAGCTATATAGCTTATTTTATTTAATGTATTTATATTTATTCATGAATTAAATTAATGCAAAAAAAATTAAAAAAAGATTTTGCAATAACATGAGCATAAACAAGTAGATGTAACAGATTCATACCTAGATGCATATACAATACCATCTTTACTTATTGAGCAGATAAATTATATTGATTGATTTATTGATGAAGCTGTCATTGCTATGAATCGTAATGTGATCTTATGACAAAATCTGTGGTAGATTTATTGAAGCCTGTTACAATATAGTTTAATGATAATATAAACAAATGAATAATAAAATTGATCTAACCGTACGAAAAACTTCTGATGTTCAATATTAGTGCAAATTAAGATATTACTTATTTACTCTTTTTTTAAATCACTTAAAAAATAATACAAAATGATAAAAAATATCTTTTAGCAATATCTTTTATATATTATTGAAGCAATTAAGGACCGATAACTCTTCAAATATATTTGCACAAGCCAGAGTCTATCTTTACCTTTCTTGTGGAGAAAATAACAAAGTTTCTGCAGAAAATTGCAAAAATTAACAATTCTATTATTGCAGCTATGTGGAAAAAGATATTGCCCAATCATAAGATATTGGTTTACATTTGATTTATACTTTGGTTTACGCAAAGATCAAACATATTTAAATACACTATCTGGACTTGGCACGATGAAAAATAATTAAGATAAAATTAATTAAAATCAAACATTTCAAAGGTTTAAAGATCAACGTCGATATGAGTGTTATAAATATCTTTATTATTTTAGAAGTTGGGTGTATTAGATACTATAATGCAATCATGAATATAACATATTATATTTGAGGTATTTTGTATTTGTTGTAGTAGTAAAGAGAGATCATTTTATAGATATTATAATATAAATAGCATATCTGTCACGCCTGTCTCCCATTAGTGTAGGCAGAAACAATGGAACGCCAAATGCTTCGATTCAAATAAACCTCTTTTGCTTCTTCCACATTCATCAATCTTTTCATACACGCTCGCCGGTTACGGCGGTGAATCGTTAATATTATAATATAAATCTTTTTTTTTGTTATTGTTGTTATAACATAGCGAGAACATATTTAAATGCTAAGTCTAAACGGATTTCAGCACAAATTGTTAATATAGCAGATAGTAATCTACAATATTTTAATACTTAATATTACGTTAAATCTACTAATTATCTTTGAGTTAAGCAAATCATGAGATACAATGAATAAATTAATTTCAATTAACACACGAACAAAGTCGCGGGCAAAGCGAGTAGAATATAAAATAACATCTTACAAGTAAAATAGGTTTACAGTTAGATACAATTTACAGTTTATAAAAATCTTGGTAAAGAAAACAGAAATATAGGAGTTAATTCAACAGAAATGTAAAAATAGGTTAACACATAACCACAGCTAAATAAATTTAATTGCAAATACCCTGTGAATCCTGTCGCTCCTACTTTTAAGTCTGGGGAACCGGGTCCCCAATTTTTCCATCAATTCTGTACACGTGTTTATTGCTGTTGGTATGTCGACGCGATTTTCTGGGGGAAGGCTGCCTGCTCTTGGCCTAATTTCAGGAGAAAGTCTAGGGATAAATGAAAAAAAAAAGTTATATCAAAAATAAAATTATAAAAAAAAAAAACATAATATGAGTTAAAGCAAACATTAAATAAGTAATACACTAAATAAAGAATGGATCTATTACATTATAAAATAAGTTAAACTATTCTAATATAGTATTTATTGAACAAAAAAAAAAAACAGTTTTAATTTATAATTCAAAATAGTGGTAAATATATTGATATACAAAAAATTCAAGATACACAATAGGAGACAGAAAAACGCACCGAAAATTGCATTAAATCAAATTATGATTCATTTTTAAACATCTAGTGATATTTGTAGTTAAAAAAGCTGAGAAGTTCTTAAAAACTTTGTCAATATTTAATTTTATATTTATTAAATTAGACATAGTAATTATTTTAGACACAGAATTTCCTGTTTATAGCATGTAATCAACTCTGGTTATGTCCTGCACTCATATATTAGTAGTAGTTTCATAATATAATTACTTTTCATTTTAATTCGAGATACTTTTGACTTTGCATAAAATTGTGAATATAGAAGTTTTATTTATATCTATGTATAAATATAATTATATATAATTATTACATATATTATCTAAAATTGATCTCGTTGCATGTAATATTTTTCCAAGAGACTACAGCATAGGGTTCTTCAAAAAAGGGTAAAGAGGTTCCTTCAGGGTCGGCACGGTGTGCGTAATGCTCCTGGCATTGCAGGCGTTCATAGGCTACGGTAACCGCTTACCATCAGACGGGCCGTATGCTTGTTTGCAACCTCAGTGGTATAAATAAAAATAATGTTAGGTACATTACATGCAACGATCTATTCAATTTTGCTATACCCAAACAAGGTTCAAGTATTTTTTCTACTTAAGAACATTGTAACAATTCAACATAAAATAATGATGTGCATAGATGCATTATATAAATAATTATATATATAATTATAAAAATAAAACTTTATAAAATATATAAATTAATAAATATGTATCACCTTCCCTCGCTGGATGATAAATAGGAGACGCACGATTCACCTGAACTGTCACCATTAGTATTAATTTCGTACGACAAATTTGACGCTGATAAACTTCTTTTCTTTCGAAGACCGCCATTTCTTTCAACGGTTAAGAATTGTTCGCAAATTTTAATATTACTCAATTCTGACGGATCAATAACGACAGACGGTATACTGTTCACATAAGACTCAGTGGTTTCTGATGAATACGTAGAAGACTTGTCTATACTGCTTCTACTATCTTCTGTACTATCAACAGATGTCTTTTCTTCGGACAAATTTGATATCAATTTTGAAATTTTGCATTTCTCTATTTTATTTTGCATTTGATCTTGAAAATCTTCTACGCGATCTTGTATTTTTCCTTGTATTTTTATTAGACGGTTCTTGAGCTTATCCATTTTGTTTTCTTTATCCATTTTAACAATTTTTTTTCACTGGTGTTTCACAAACGTCCATACTCGTCGGTAAGGAAACATCGACTATTCATTAAGGCGCCAAGATTAGTAACTCTTTATGTGAAATTGATTCCGCTGAAAGGTTTATTTTATAATTCAAAGATATTCGTGGTATCTCAGAATCGAAACACATTAATAACATCAAGAGTGTTTGAAATT